ATTTCAGATTATATTAGTGGCTAGGAGAAAACTTGATTATCAAAAGTCTTAACTATAAGTCTCAGCTTTTCCAAAGTACTCCCTCAGTTATCAAAGATTCATTCCTTGTGGAAACAGGTCTGAGCAGTGCAGGGTAAACATCAGATAGTTGATGTGCACAGGAGACGGGTAGACCACCCTGGAGGGAGGGGTTCTTTTCCTCTTGTACAATCCCTTTTAGAAACAAGCCAGACTGTTCTTAATCTGTCAGCCAGGTCAGGGAATTGGCCTCAGCCTTCTAGTAGTAGTGTGTGCATGCACGGTTATGTAAAGGGGTGGTTTGGAATCCTGAGGAATTTGTCTTGCTGCAGATCTAAGACCCAAGATACTTAAGTTCAGTGTTGACTGCACTTCCTTCAGCTCCTCAAACCTTGGCTGAACAGAAGCCCCATCTTCAGAGATGGCATCACAACTATTTGCAGGAGCTCAGCATACAACATTGAAGTTTGGGTTCACATCTTGACAGGCGATTGCCACTAGCTTTTATTTCTGGGATGGTTAGTAGAAGGCATGCTGTACAGTGGTACCTCACAAACTTAATTGGTTCACGAACTTAATTCTTTCCATGATTCTGGCTGCAAACTGAATTGCATAAGAACTGAATATAATTCAATGGTTAGGTTCAATGTTGATCTTATGGGGAAATTTGATTCGATTCTTGTCCAACCCAGTTTGTGATGAGAATCATGGAAAAAAATTAGGTTCGTGAACCAATGTATCACTGTACCTTCACGAATGTTCCCATTAAAAACTCATATGCCAGATCTGAAAGGGAACTTGCTGCCATTAATCAACACGACACCTGATAGTATTCAGAAATCCACCGGAGCCCTGGGATCTTAGGGGAAGAAGCTGGCAAGGTCTGAGGTTCCTGTTCTCTAACCTTTCCCACTTCCCAGATATGGAATTGGAGGCTCGTACAGTCTTACTGACTTGGGGAAGCCTGAAGTTGATGCATTTTCCCAGAACACACCAGGAGATGTGAGTGTGTGCCTCTTGTCTTTACCTCGCTAGCAGGTTGTTACAGACTTGTCTGATTGTATCTCCTCTCATTCCAAGGAGGTGGAAAAACCTTTTTTCTGCCTCTCGCCTTCTTACTGAAGTTACAGCTGACACATTCCACACTGCCACTTTCTCCCTAGGCTTGATTAGGCCACTGATTTACAAATTGGAGAGAGACAAGCGATAAGCAGGAGTCCAACTGGGAAGATGCCGGGAGCTTTTATTAAAGCCTTGCCATTCTTGTTACAGCTAATCTTTGCTAATTTCCAATGCTGAACAGCTGGCTCTATCTGGTTTATGGCCCAGGCTGATCAGCATGGAGGAAACCATAAATCAGGCAGAACTCTCCCCCTATAAAAGTCTCTGCAGGTAACAAAGGGGAATTAAGTAGTTAGGAATCAGTGATCTCTCCTACTGACCTGGGGAGCCAAGCTCTGAACCTGCCCTGGCCAAGCTCAGACCACTTTGTTCAAGAGCATCATCTGATGAAGTAATGCAGCCTCTACCATGAACCAATGTAGTACTGGCAGCTTGTGGGCAGAAGATCTTCCTAGCAGGGAGGTGGACTAGAGAAGTGAAGAACAGCAACCCTGCTTCAGCAGCTATAGTCCTGGCGACTCCTCCTAACATGGTTTTAACCTCAGGCCTTTTCAATCTACCAGATAAAGCAAATTGCACAAAAACAGTTTTCCAGCTGAGGATGGCCATTACCTGGGCCGCTGTGTCTCTTTTCTCTCTCCCTGTGAGGGCAAAGGGGAAATGTCTGTGCTCAACAGAGAATAATTGGGGCCTACAGAGGCAAACCAGGTGTCTAGAAGTACAAGAGCTCAGCGTGGGTTGCTCCTGACCTGAGCAATTAAGGCTTAATTAAGGTTTGAGTTTAACTCCCTGTGATTTCACTTCACAGGATTATTACTTCACAGTATCGTGATAAAGATGATTTTAAATTAAAAATCACCTTTTTCCTTATTGCAAATATTAAGGCCAAACAATTAAAATTTAAAAGAAGCAAAGCCAGGGAAAACACTAACTATAATTTCCATTCCCTAAAATATCATTTTGGGGTTGAGGACTTAGCTCAGGTAGAGGACTTGTCTAGCAAATGTGAGGCCCTGAGTTCAGTCTTCAAACCAAAATATTTTTAAAAAATCATTTTTCATGATTGTAGAATTAAATCATGTAGGTTCGCTACAAGTTATTTATCCAGGCCCCTAGAAAGTTTTTGACCATTAGAAATAAAATGAGTTAAATCTGATATGATCTTATTTGTTTAGAATAAGCCCTCAAAATCGGTATTTCTGAGTCAAACATGCACATATTCTTTTTTTTCACAAAGAATAGGTTTATTTTTGTTTTTGAATTCTGATTTTATCTTCCTAATGCAAACTTTTGATTACTACATCATTCCAATATTCAGCTAACCTATTTTATGTAAACATTTATAAGGTAAAATGTTATATTATTTTTCGAACTTTTCAAATAAATATGAATTTTATGAAAAAGTAAAGAATGTTGAACCCTGAATATTTCTGAAATCAACAACAGTCTATTCATAGAATTGGGCAAAGTATTTCAAAGTAATCGAAGCTGACATAATGGGATAACAAGCATACAAACTGAACAAATATGAAGCTACCTCACATAACACCTTTTCAAAAGCATCCTGACAGAAAACATCACTCTGAGTGATATTGCTCATATATGAAAGTCCCAAATATCCTCAGAAAAGTAAATAATTATTTTCTTAGTATAACATTTCAAATTGTATTCAAAATTTAATAAATCATCACTGTTTTATTATATAGAGAGGGGTTAACAGGACATCTGTAATACAATCTGCCTTTCAGAAATTATTTATAAAATGAAAGATGCACATATTCTTAAGATTTGTGGATGGATGTAGGAAACGTGCTATAATTAACACTCCTACTACAGTGTGAATCTGTTTCTGAAACACTCACTAACACCAAACACCATTGGTATTATCTTCTGGTTTTGGCCATGCCCATTTGTAAGCACTTTAGAGTACAAAATATTTATGATTAGTATAAATTTATGTGCTTAACAGCCCAACATAGCGCTGGATATGAGGTTCCAAAGACAGACATGCAGTTACCTGGCCTCAAAGATTCTCGGGAGAAAGGCAATCTGAATGCACAAAGAATCAAAGATTACCGAGAGTGGATGGTTACAGCGTTAGAGTTTGACACCATGGTTTGTGGAATGACACACCCATGATCAGCTCTCCTTTACTGAGGTTCAATCTGATCAGACTCCTACAAATGCTGTATGAGGTAGTTTGCTCATGATGTAATCTCACGATATCTTTGCAGTATCATTCTGAAGGATGTTATGATGCGTATTGTGAAATGAAGGAGGGTGAGGCAGAGATATAACTGACTTGTTAAGGACTGCACAGTATAATCTGATATATGGCTGAGCCAAAAAGACCCACTGAATTCTGTGTTTAGAGCAAGGAATCTTTGGACTCAGGGTTTTGCAAATTGACTAATCTAGGGAGCTGCAGCTCAGTGAAGAAGCAGTTATGTTGAATTTGGCTTGGAGGAAAGTAACCTCCGTACTCCACCAATTTGGAAATGTCCCTCTGAGATAGGCCAGAATTAAGAGTTTTTAATTCTATTTGAAGGACTCATTACTGAAGGAAAATGAGTAGACAATGGCTATCGGCTGTTCTTTCTCACTTCTGAGTGTCAGGGTTTCTCAAACTTAGTGTATTTAGAGGTCTATGAAGACAGATTCAATGCCGATTCCCAGAGCAATCTCAAAACATTCTAGTTCAGGAGGCTGGAGTGAGGCATTGGAACCCATATTTCTAACACTTGGAGAGACTGGTATAGGTCAAGCCTTGGGAATCAAAGAAAATATAAAATACCTAATCCTGGGATGAATGTGAGATGCCAGGCCTTTTCCTGCCAGGCAGATCCATAAGACAGCCCACAACAAAAGGCAGCTCAGCCCTGTAGACTACATCTGGCTCATGGCTGGGACTTCTATGCCTGGAGACAGCATTGGCCTCCCAAGAGTGCCACCATCCCTGTGACCCATCAGAAAATGAAGAGCTTCCCCTGATCCACGTAGATGGAGGGTGACTATTCACCCACGAGTAGCCAATCCACAGTGTCCTAAACCCAGGCGAGGGAAATAGACCATGCCTGGTTATGAGTGAATCTTTTCACAGTCATTAGCAAACTCACTCTAGAAAAAATTCCTATAAAATGGATTCAATAAATGATAATAATTATCATTATTTCCATGACACTCTTCATCACTATTAACTATCATCATCATTATCATCATCACCACCACCATTATCAAATCTGGTATTGATGGAATGGCTCTTTGAGCAGACATTTTACCAATGGCTAGACTTATATGATCTCTTTTAATCCTCAACATATTACTTTAGGGAAGGCTTCATTACAGTTTATTCCCAGTTTTACAGAGGGGAAGTAGTGTGTCCCAGGTCACACAAGTAATACTTGGTGCAGTCAAAATTTTAGCACAGGGCCGGGCATTTATCTCAGCGGTGCTGCTGCCTGCTTTGCAAGTGCAAGGTCCTGAGTTTGATGCCTGGTACAAAAAAAAAAAAAAAATTCTAGCACAGTCCATCTGACAACATTTGAGTGGCTCCCATGACCCTTACTTTACTAGGGGAGTCATGGTGACTTGCCTAGGAACGTGAAGGTTGTCAATGGAGTAACTGGATTACTAACCAGGGCCTTGATGACCCCTGGCTCTGCCTCTTTCTGTAAGACCGCTGCTTCTAGATTGTATTAGGAGAAACTCGGGAAGAGAGACTTCTAGTTAATTAGTGGCACTGAATAGAAAGCAAGCTGTGGTCCTCAGGGAACTGTACACTGTCCTATAAATTCCTGGCAAGAGTGGTCAGGAGGCTGAGCCTCTCCATGTTCTGGCGTGACCTGTGTTAGATGCCATTCATGGTCCTCAGAATAGGTCCTAAGGCCCCTCTAGATTCAGGACTCTGTTGGGGGACTGAGTGCCATGTAGGCCACACAACACTAGTGCTGATGCTGTTTGCCACTATGCTGGTGACTTGGCTTGAAGCTGCTAAACTCACTGTGGGCTTCCATGCCCCCTGGAACATCTCCCACCCAGTCAGTGCGCAGAGGCTGGGGGCAGGCCTCCAGATTGCCATGGACAAGGTCAACGCAAAGCCAGTAGTGGGGCTTGGAAACTTCAGCTGGGAGTTCACTTACACCGACTCAGCCTGCAGCACCAAGGGGTCTCTTGCTGTTTTCATCAACCAGGTCCAGAAAGAACAGATTTCTGCCCTGTTTGGCCCAGCATGCCCAGAAGCAGCAGAGGTAGAGTATACAGCCTTCTAAAAATGGTGGCCGAGTTTCCCTCAGAAGGGATGGTCTTGAAGTTGATGGCACAGATTTCAATAATGTCTTGACAAAGATCACATTGTTGTAACTATAGCTGTATAAGTCTTGGGTACCATTTTTTAGATGTAATTATGCCATGTAATTAGAACAGTTAGCATTCTCCTTGGAGAAAGCCTTTCAAATAAAAAATCATTCTTTAGTTTATGCCCCTCTTCTTCCTCTGGTTGATTTGTGTAGAGACTGTTATTATTCACTCTTAGGCTGTCAGTCACATGGCTCAGGATAATTACAATGAAAACAAATGAGTGGTTTTAAATATGAAACTATCAATGGTTTGAGGAGGTTTGCCTTTGGCATATATAATAAATTATTCAGTGATGGTGAAAGTAAATGAGAAAGAATAAGGTATGATGCATTGCTTTAAGCTAGAGCGGGGCAAGGTGGGAAATGAGTGCTTCGCGTTTGTCTGGTTAATGAGACTAACTTTGTAGATGCCCTCGGGTATCATGTCTTCTGAGAGATGTTGATGCAAAGGGAGACTGGGCAGGAGCTTCACAGGTCTCACTCCCCAAGCACTGCAGAGAATCATTAGTTGGTGTTGTAAAATGAAGTTCACATTTGCATTTTAATCTGAATCTTGGTCCGTCTTAGAATTCCCCATTTGACATATTTCCAGCTGTCCTCTTCTTCAAAGTCAACCTCAAGTGCCACCCGACTCCCCAGATCTTTAATTCCTCAATTAAAAGTAATTCGTTAGTTCTCTGAATTCCTGTAAATATATTCTATAAATCCTACAGGTTATATTTAACTCTAGAGCTAGCTTTAGATATCTTAGCTCCTGGAGGCCATAAGGTTCTTTAAGAATAAGTTTTCCAAAGTTCCTTGTAAAGTATGGGAGCCTAATGAAAAATGTGTAAGAAGTGAGCAAGAGAAGTTAAGAAAGAAAGAGTAAATGGGTGGCAATGAGTATCGGCTCTGGAACCATATTGCTTGAGTTCATCAGCTACGTAACTTACATCTTTGTGTCTCCATGTTTTCATTTTTCAAACAAGGCTAATGATAATACCTACCTCATAGAAATGTTACAAAAGTTGAAATATATAGGCTCTTAGTAGAGTGCTTGGCATGTAGCAAGCAGTCAATAAATTCTTGCCTTTGTTATCCTTGTCCTCTGAGGTCTTGCTTCTACTTACATCATCAACATTCCATGGGAGAAGGTCCAGTGTGATCCTAGCTTCACTGAGTCCCAGGTTGTGCTGAAACTTCACACTGAGGTTTGAGTGTAGCATAAATTTCATCATGGAACGACATCTTTTTCATTACTTTCAAGGTTACTGGTTTGCTGGCTTCTGAGTGGAATATCCCCATGTTTGACTTTGTTGGACAAATGGCAATACTGGAAAACCACTTTTTGTATGATACCTGTGTGACACTTGTGCCCCCGAAGCAGGAAATTGGTGATGTGCTCCAGAAAAGTCTCCAGTACCTGGGCTGGAAGCACATTGGGATGTTTGGAAGCTGCTATGGGGCTTCCTCCTGGGATGAGTTGGATAAGCTGTGGAGGGTTGTAGAGGAGGAACTGCAGTCCCAGTTTACCATCACTGCCAGCATGAGATGCACCAGCCACGACCCAGCCCTCCTCCAGGAGGCTCTCAGGAACGTGTCAGCCCTGGCCAGGGGTAAGTAGGAAAGAGTCTCCCATGGTTCATGTTTGGAGAGAGAAATAGAATGAGTGGATTGTTTGAAACAAACCAAGGGCTCTTTATTTTTTTAAGAGTATAAAAATCCGATAGAAATGGTATAAAATTAATGATACAACAAAGCAATTTATTACTTTGCTTGACATCACCAATGTTTTTGGGGGTCTAAAGTGAGATCTCAGATGCTATAGAGTCATGATGCAGAGAGGAGTTCTAGAAGTACATTTCAGAGGTGACACGTCCTGGCCTTTGGTAGCTGTTCAGAGCATGGGCTCTGGAGACAGACCCACCTGGGTTTGATTCCAGCCTCTGACCCTTGCCAGCTGTGTGCTTCTGGCCAAAAACTTTAACATCTCTGTGTCTGAGATACCTTATCTGTAAAATGGAGAGAGTCATCCTAGCTCCTTCATACGAAGGTGAGGATCAAGTAAGGTCGTGCACCGAGTGCTTAGTCTGTGTAGGCAGCAATTTGACAACAGATGGCAGTGACTGTTTCCATGATGGAACTGCTTAGTAGGTTCTTTCTTACTCACTGACTCTGTTCTTCAAATAAACTAAACTCTTTCTGGTCCCGGGACTCTAGGACTTGCTGAGTCCTCATTTTAGAGTGCCACCCGCAGGCCCCCCGCCTCTTCCCTTGTGCTCCAGATGCACTTTCTCTGTCTCATGTGGGGTTGTCCCCCTCCCCCTTTGGAACACAGCATTCTTTCCTTCCTCACTACTAGGACAGCCTTGAGTGGACACTTCAGTCTTTCTGCTTGTACACTGTCAGTGACGCCACAAGCCTTTCTGCCTTCTCCTGTGATAGCCTAGCACAGTGCCTAACACATAGTCGGAGCTCAGAAAAATAGATTACTATTTAAAAGCTCTAAAAAATAAATCATGACTTCAGTTGTGGGTCCTCCAAGTGAATGATGATGTGATTGAACGAAAGAGTAATATAGCTACTTCTCAGGGGCCCATCCCAGCTCAGAAAGTCAGAATGCCTTGATTTGAGATCTTTCACGATCGCCTCCTAGCTGATGTGTAGATGATGAATCACAAGACAGACCCATTTTTTGGTTTTCAAAATGTATTTTTATTTGTGCATGTTTGCAGTACATGATGTTTGCAGTACATGATGTTTGCATTCCTCATATGGAGTTATGCACGTATAGCAGCTCTCAATTCCTTTTTTCCTTTCCTTTCCTTTCCCACCCCTCCATCCTGCTCCCTCTGGCTCTTAGTCTTCCCATTTGAGAAAGATCTATCTCCCTATTATTCTGCTTTTTTTGAGGAGTTAAATGAAAGAAAATAATGCACTTTGCTTTCAAACTTTCTGGATTTGTGCATTGTGTCAGGATGTAGGGGCTGCCACAACGACTTTAATTTCCATAGGGCAAAAGTGGCCAGTTTGTATATTGTGGTCTAGGTTTAAGAAATAAACACTCTGGGAGTGGTTTAGCCATTTCTATTTCTTGAAGCAGTCTCATAAAAAGAAAAGGTTTGTGTCTTGTTTGGAGTGCTTTAGGGTAGGCTTTAAAAAGAGAGAGTGTGCATACAAGCTTCTATGGAAGCATGCATTACCGGCTGATTCTTTTCCTCTCTTACAGTTATCATCTTAATCTGCAGCTCAGAGGATGCAAAGAGGATTCTGCTGGCTGCAGAGAATCTAGGACTCGATACCAGAGAATTTGTCTTCATCATTTTGCAGCAGCTGGAGGTGGGTGCTGACTACCACTTAGTGGCCCTGGTAAAGAAAGGTGATGAGTGTGGAGTACTTGTCACCATGAACCAGTATATACTAGTTCACCTAATACACATTACAAACCTTGGAGGTAGGTATTCTTGGATCTTCATCTTAAAATCAGGAGACTAGGACTGAGCTGAAAGAATGTGCCCAGAATTCCCTTGCACAGTTAGTAAGAGGCTAGGCCAGTCCTTCAGTGAGGTTAACGGGCTCTGGGGATTGTATTCTGCACTTTAAGTCAGCAGACTCTAGCTGAGGAAAACTATCATTTCTAAAGGTGGATGACACCTTTCCATAGGACTCTCAGATACAAGTGGCTCTCACTTTTCTTCCGCAGCCACCTTCCTGTATCCCTACTAAGTAAAGCCTTGACAAAGGCCTGGAGAGAGCAACATATTGGCCCAAGGAGGCAATGTATTAGTCACTTTCTTGTTGCTGGGACAAAATACCCAACATTCACAACTTCAAAGAGGAGAGGCTTATTTTGGGTCATAGTTTCAGAGGGTCCAGTCCATGGTTGGCTGACTCCAAGGCAAAAACAGCATGGACAAAAGGCACAGTGGGCAAAAGCTGCTCATCCCATGGCAGTCAGGAAGGAGAGAAGGGGGCGGGGGTCAGGGATGAGAATATACTTTTCCAGCTCATGGTCCCAGGGACCCACCCCTCCAAACAGGTCCAAACTTTTGACAGCACATGAATTACTGAACTCACCAATGGATAAATCCACTGATGACGAGAGCATCCTCGTAATCTAATCATCTTCCACACACATGAGGACCCCTTTGGAGGACATTGTAGAGTTAAACTGTAAAAGGTATTCCTAAGTAGTTTGGTAATGACAGAAATGACTAAAGTACTATGTGCTTCCTACAAGTACTGAGTTACACATTTCACATGCATCGTTGGACTTGATGGTCCCAGGGGCCCTGTGAAGCAGCTACCATATGCATTACTGCACTTAATATTTCCCACAGCCTTGGGAGATAGATATGATCGACATGCCAACTTTCAAATAGAAAAGCCAAGGCTTAGTTAAGTAAAGTACCTGACCTAAGATTTCAGCATTTCCAAGTTGCATAGCTGGTGTTCCAAACTGGAGCTTTTGTTCTTCACCCCCCACAGCCCTGCCTTACAGAATGCTCGTGAGGTGCTAGGCCCCACCGTGAATGCCTGATGTATTAAAATTAATTTCCAATCACAACCACTCTGTGGGGTAGGTATGTTTCTAAGAAGAGGAAACTGGGACCTGTGGAGTTTATATAACTTGTCCAAGGGTGTAAAACTAGTATGAGGGAGAGCAAGAATTCAACCCATGCAGACTGGCCTCAGTATCTGTGCACAGAAGCACGTCACCCTATAGACATCCAAACAAGCCAGTTGCCTTTAGCTAAGGACACATTGTATAATTTCCCCCAAAGCTTTAGCTTTCTAAAATGAACTTGTTTTATATGATCATAAGAAGTTGAGGGCAAAAGGAAGTAAAGGAAGCAATAAAATAATGTCACAGATTTCTCTTCATTATCACGAAATATGGCTAAAAGAGTCTCGGATTTCTTTGGGTCGCAGCTGGAGTTGTAAATATAGGCCAGATTTGCCAGCATATCCTCCTACCTTCTCTTTTTATTGCCATCCCCTGTTGTCTCCTCCCTAACCTTTGATGATCAATTCCAATTAGTTTGAAGTGGCAGAAAGAGCACAGAACTAAAAATATACCACACAAAGTCCATGCAAATTGAATTCGTGCTGTTTTTAAAAAGAATGCATCAATCCTTTCTATGAAAGTGTCCCCAGTGTAGGATTAAGTGGAAAAAAATCAAGTCTCAGAACCACAGTGTAGTATAAAGCACACATATGCAGATGTGGACACACACTCACATGCGTGTGCACATCCCCCGCCCCCCTTACCTGCCTGTATTGTTTGGATATCTCCCAGGGTGGAGAAGGAGGGAGCAACCGGAAACAGGAAAATATACAATGAGTGAGTATATACTATTCATGGTAGTAACAATACAGGTGATGATATAGGTAATGATAATAAAGCACTTAAGCAACGAGAAGCAGATTGAGAATAGATAATCCTAAACTCTTGAACTTTTGTGCTCATTGCTATGAGCTCTCTGTATCTTACCTGCTTGATGCACCAGGTATGTTTTTATTTTTTATTTCATTTTTAGCTTCCTTCCCACTGCTTATGTGCTGGCTGGAGAATGTGGACCTCATATTGCAGGCTGTCTGGAAACGCTGTGTTTCCAAGGACTAGTGTGCAGCAAGCTTTTCAGGTTCAGCATTGCCTTGATTGCAGTTCCTGTTTCCTACAGAGTGGTGACATTTCTTTCATTATTGTTCAGGACAGTTTTAGGAAGGAGCTGCTGACAAATCAGAAGGTGACACAGTTCCCAACTGTCTACGAGTCGGTGTTTCTCATCTCCCCCAGTTCCTATCGGGAAGGCCCGGGACAGGACGACTTCCGGAAACAAGTGTACCAAAGGCTGAGGGGGGCCCCCTTCCACAGCCCCATAGCCTCGGAGGAGCAGGTCTGATGGGGGACTCCACATGGGGCCCTGACTTCCATTCCTTGACCATATTTATATTTGGCTTTTGCATTTCTCTTCTTTTTTTTTTGGTACTGGGGATCGAACTTGGGACCTTGCGCTTACAAGGCAGGCTGTGGAACCACTGAGCTAAATCCCCAGCCCACTTGCATTTCTCTTCTTATTCCCCCTCTTTTCCCCCCACCCTCTAACACACACACACACACACACACACACACACTCACACACTTCCCCATCTTCCAAGGCCCCAAATAAACATTGGTTTGATGCTTTCCTGTGAAATTTACATCCCACAACCACAGAGGGGAACAGAGGTTATGGTGAAAGGCTATTGACTTTTGGGGGTCAGATCCTGGGCTCCCATCCTACTTTTGCTATTAAATAACTGTGGGGCTTTGGCATGAACCGCTTAACCTCCCCACACCTTTATCTCTTCACCTGTAAAATGGGACTGCTAAGGGCCATGACCTCTTAGGCTGTGGCCCTGAGTGTTTGGTCACATACCATGTGGAAATAGCCAAACAGATCCCGGTGGATACTCGGATCATGTCTGTTGCCGTTCCCTGGGGGATGCTTGGATCGAGAGCTAGGATGAAGCAAAGACCTGGGGCTAGGGCAATCAAGGCCGGCGGAGGAGCTGGGTGGTGGGGAGACAGTCAGGAGGGCTAGTCAACCAGTGGGAATCTGAGCAGTTTGAGTGGTGAACCAAACCAGCTCCCACAGAGAATTTTTCAGAGAGAATGGTGGCCAGAGTCGGAGCTACTTTCAGTGCAGGGTCAAGCTGAGAACTGGGCTTGATTGGGAATGAGGGGCTGATTGTGATCCTAACATACAAGACACGATGATCAGTCAGGGACTGTGTGGGGCACAGTTCACGAAATATCAGCTGTGCTCCAGCTGCTACAGGAGAATGGTGCTAGCTTGGGAGGTACCAGTATTTTCATCAGCTAAACCCACAGAAGAACATGTATTGAAGACCTACTATGGGCCATGTAAACTGCGAGGGTAGCTTCCCTAGTCTGCCTCACTTAGCTATGCTCATGTGTCATAAGAGCAGTTTTATCTCATTTTGTAATCAGAGAGGTCCCAGAATGTACTCTGGTGTGGTAGCCAGTAAGTGGCAGAGCTGGCCTGGCTCCAGACTCTCCCTTTCACTTAAACCATACTCTCTGCTGACCATGGCTTGCAGAGCCATTCCTGAGCTGACAGATCATGAGATCTAACTGGGAAACTGAGGCATAGGAAGAGGGGAGGAGACTGTGACAGCTAGCCTTAGCAGCGCAGGGCCTGGCCCGAGGTGGCCTCCCCTTCCTGTGTCTGGAAGAAGAACATGGGCCAGCTCCACCGTTTGCAGGGTGGAGGGACTCCTGGTCAGGTGATGGAGGCCCGCGCCTGGCCTCACTGCTCTGCTCCTCTTGTCCATGTCCAAGGTGAGCCCCTACGCTGCCTACCTGCACGATGCCTTTCTGCTCTACGCCCGGACCGTGGGAGAGATGATAAAGGCCGGAAGAGACTTTCGAGATGGGCGGCAGCTGCTCAGCACCCTGAGAGCCAATCCGACCCCACTGCAGGGTGAGTGGTTTGATGTGGGGGAGCAGTTTGGCACTCAGCTAGTGCCCCAGTCGCTGTGGCCTTTGAGAAGCTGGGTAGATGATTACAAGGCTCCTGTAGGGCCTTCCGCTGGACTGAGCTACAGAGCTCACTTTTCTCATGCAGATCTCAGGCTTTCTTAAGTGTGGTTGAGGTTAAAGTCCCTCAGCTACCATAGCTCAACTCATCCCGCCCTGCCCATTGGAGGAGGCCTCTGGCCACCTTACCCCTTTCCCCTGAGAAGTCTCTCCTATGTCTGCTTCCTAGCTGCAGCCATCACGAATAAAAGTAAGGACTCGAGGCCTGCCTCTGTGATGGTGTGCAGGCAGAAGCTGGGGCCAGCTGCAAAGCCCAGGGTGTTCGGGGCTGCGCTCTGCCTTGGCCTTGCCTGGCTCTAAGAGGCTCTCAGGCACTGCGCCTCTAGTGCCCCCATGGCCAGAGTGAGTCATGGTGCCTCTTCCACAGTGGCCACTGGAGCCAGACCTGAGGTCACTATAAGCACAATGCTGGGCACACTGTGGGGGCTTCATACGTGGTACTATGGTGTCCTGTCCCCAGAGGGACAGTGTGGACAATTGAGCCTTTACTGGCTGGGGACAGAGTGCCCTGCCCAAGCCTCTGTGCATAACCAAGTCTGGAGGGAAAGGCTCAGGCACAGCCTGAGGATGAAGCTTGCAAACCTGTGTATCCCCAGACCTGACACCCAGAGGGGAGGAACCCGGAGGGTGGCAGGGACTGGAAGAGGCAGCTGTCAGCCAGCTGCTGCTGTGTGGCCACTGGGCCTCTTACTTGTCATTTATTGTTTGTGGAAAACATCATGAATCTGAGGTTTTGAGTAAAATTAACTACAGACTGCTTAACCTTGTTTTGTGATGATGGATGGGCCTTGCCAGCATAGGCTTAGCAAAATACATCTGCCTTCCAGTGTGGCCCTTAAGCCCAACCAGAAGTCCACTGATGAACTGTCTCTCTCCCTGGACTGAGCCTGTTGACCTTGGTTCAGATGCCTTGGGATGGCAGAAACCTCTCCCTTGGCATTGGATGGGAAAGGAGCTGGTGATGTGAGTCAGGGCAGAATGTCATCTCTAGCCAATGGTCAGTCTCTCTCTCCCCGCCTCCCCCTTCTTCCCTTCCTTCCTCTCCTTCTGAATCTTCTCTTTGCAGGAATAACTGGCTCTGTGTTTGTGGACTCCCAGGGAGAAAGGCACATGGATTACTCTGTCTATGCCCTACAGAAATCTGGAAATGGGACCTTTTTTCTTCCTTTTCTTCATTATGACAGCTATAACAAAGTCATCAGGTACCGCAGGGCATTTCTGCAAGTTTCAATCACCCTACAGGAAGAGCTCTGGGAGGAGAGAGGGACCAGGGATCCTGCTGGGAGATCAGTTTGGGATCCAAGCCTAGAATCCTCCACCAAGTGGGCTGCTACTCCCTGAACTCCTAAAGGTGGACTTTGAGATTTTAAGGTGGTTTTGCCCTAGACTGTGGCCATTTCAGATTCCAGAGCAGAACTCAGCACCCCTAGCTGGTCCTGCATAGGGGCTAGGCCTCCAGCTGCCCCAGATCAAACAGGTCCCTGTTGGCCAGTGCTCTCCAGCAGAGGTCCTGGCCTCAGGGCTGATGGGGCACAGCACCCCTGTGGGAATGGGTCCAAAGTCAGCACAACTGCACCTGTGCTGCCTGACTCCCCAGCAGGGACTATGTGGGGTACAGGACTCTGCTGTCCTGGGTTCCAAGTACCCAGGACTCCCTGGGAGAAATCTCTGCCATGGCTCTCAGCTACAAATCAATGAGAAAGTGAAAAACAAACTTAACACATAATTAAACTTCTATTTGCTCCCACTGCTACCACCCCCAAAGTCCACCTGAGCCTTTTTCTCCCTTTCTCTTAGGAATGCACCAAAGTGGGCTGGCCCACCATCAAAGCATCTGCTATGAGCCAGGTCCTTGTGTTGTAGGGATGAGGAGATGGGGATGTTACACACAGGGAAGATGTTTTGGTCTGTGAAATGTGAAGGGCTACACAATAAGATCCGTCTATGTCAAACATGTTTGCAAAACCCACAATAACAGAGACTTGTCACCTTTTATTTTGAGACAGGGTCTTGCTATGTAGTTCAGGCTGACCTTGAACTCACTATGTAGCCTAGGCTGGCCTCAAACTCACAGCGATCCTCCCGCCTCAGCCTCCTTGAGTGCTGAGATTACAGGCATGCAGCACTACCTCCAGCCTGTCACATTGATTTTTAAATCAAAAGAACATGGTTTAAATCCAAAACTCGAGGCAGGGATTCCACTCTGCAGAAAGATGTCGACTTCCATGAATTAGATTAGCAGAGGATGAACCGGAAGACTAGAGAAGGAGGGAACTGTGGGCCAGGCAGCAGAGGTTTGTAGATAATATGCCTGTTTCAGTTGCTCCTGTTATACATAAGTAGAGAGGAGTAGAAGAAATCCAGGGCATGTTGACCTTTGTCTTCTTCTTAAAAGGTCCTTGAGGAATTTCTCCAATATTACGTGGCCCCGTGACTTCCTCCCTGGAAACAGACTCAGACCTGGATGTGGATTTCCCAATGAGCTCTGCCAAGTGGAGCCTACTTTCCCAGGTTAAGTGTGGCTCCTTGGAGGGAGAAGGTAGTGGGAGGGTGTGACTCCCCACAGAACAATGGGAGCTGCCCTGGACATTGCGGGGTGTTGAGCAGTATTCTCAGTCCCCCAGCTGCCAGGAGCAATCTTGTGGTTGTTACCTTTGGTTGTTCTCAGAAATGCTTCCAGACATTGGCAGATATCCCCAAAGGGGCAACACGGCCCTCCTTCCCAGCTCAGAAACTCTGTGTAGAGAAACCTGGTTCCTGAGATTTGAGTCTTAGGAACTTCGCTTCTAGAGAGATAGGCAAACTCTGTGGAGGAGAGTGTTGCGCAGTGGTAGGAGCCAAGCCCCGGACATAGATGAATTCTAATTCTTCACAGAGCACACAGAAAAAGTAGAACAGAAGCAGTCGTGGTTAGAAGTCATCGTTATTATTTCCCTACAATGGAAGATTCTGTACGTGTGGGGGAGCAGTGTGGTCACAGTGGGAACTGCAGGGAATTCGGGGAGAGCTTCCCAGAAGAGGGAATGTGTGGTCCTAACCTGGACCACTCCTGCGCTGCCCTTCAGGCACTGGCTGTGTGCACCTCTGCTCCTCAGCAGCCCTGTGTAATGGCTGCCTCTGCCACCCAGGTGGGACTGTTGTGATTCTCACCGTGATGCTCCTGGTCACTGTCTTGGGAGTTGCCACTGTAGCTCTGGCTGTAAGGGTGCAGCAGGGAAAGCGACAGAGCCGAAATAAAGACACCTGGTGGCAAATCAACTATGAGGACATCACTATCCTGCCCCAGAACAAGGTGAGGCTGCACGAGACCCACATGTCCACGTCCCTTGCCACCGCTGGAGACTTGTGGAAAGGACCTCGTAGAGGACCTTAGGAGAGCAAGAGGCTGACTCATGTGTAAAGCGAGTATGTAGTGGAGAGGCCAGATCTGGTTCTGGTGTTGGGCCCCTGGTTCCTGGCTGAATATCTCAGAATATCACTTCACCTTCCTGAGATTCAGTTTTCGACTATTTAAAAAGGATTGAGGGCTGGGGATTTAGCTTAGTGGTTCCACCACCTGCCTCGAAAGTGCAAGGTCCTGAGTTTGATCCCCAGTGCCAAAAAAAAAAAAAAAAAGGATTGAGTCTTTAAAGTTCCTGTCAACCCTGTTGCTCTGCAGGTGTAAGCATCACATAGCCTGCTCAAGTATTACAGCCTTTCCTGGGGAGCAATTAGTTTTTTTAAAAAAAATTACGTTAACTGCAGCTGGGCATGGTGGTGCAGGCCTGTAATCCCAGCACTCAGGAGGCTGAGGCAAGAGGATCCACTGTGAGTTCAAGACTAGGCTGGGTTCCATAGTGAGTTCAAGGCCAGCTTGAACTATATGGCAAGATTCTGTCTCAAAAGAACAACCCTAAAATTACATTAACTCCTTTAATCTGATGACTGTTTCAACAAGGTTCATTTACACAACAAACACTTGGTGACCATCTACTGTGGACCAAGCATAGTGCAAAGCTTGGGGACAACTACAAATGAGATGGCTTCAGAGGGAGGCAGGTGTGCAGAGAGGTCTCCGCAGTGGGACAGAGCCCTGCAGACGGAGGGACTAAAGTTGTCAGCATCTTGAAGGTGTCAGAGAAGACGTGACAAGGGGAGAGGTCATGTAGGATATGCCAGGATGTGGGAGGCAGAAGGCTGGGAGGCTCGGCTAGTTCCAAGCCACAGAGCTTTCACTGCACTTAGACCAAGAGATTGAGGTTCATTAATCGCTCGTTTCCAAATGTCCATGGGGAATTTAGAGCCTCCCTCTTCCCTCTTCATCCACAGGCAGCTCTATTCTGGTCTGCCTGGTTTGTACACTAGGGTTCCAGGGAAGAGTCTTCCCAAAATACAGGGCTCCTGTGCTTTGAAGATGTTCTCCAGATGCTGGGGAGGTGCTGGAGGTACTGGATATAGAGCTAACAAGTGTTTACTTAGCAAAATGATTTGGGCCCCACATTTGGAACTTGAATCCGGGAAGACTGAGCTCAGAGCCCGCCCTCATACCACACTGTGTAAATTGGTGCAGATGTGAAGAGCAGTGTAGGTGGCAGGTAAGCACTCACAGTTTGGGTCAGAAACAGATAAGTGGATAAAGAAAATGTGGTATTTACACACAATGGGGCACTGCTCTGCCATAAAGAGGGATAAAATTGAGTCGCTTGTAGGAAAATGGATCCATCTTGAGAGACCATCATGTTAAGTGAAATAAACTGGACAGCTTGGGTATCACATGGTTTGTCTGCTATGAGAAATCCCAAATGTAAGAAAAGAACAAAATAAATTATGTATAATAGGAAGTAGATAGTTCTTTCTCAAATGGGAAGGGGATCAAGAATTGAAGGAGAGGGGAGGGAAGTAAAAAAAAAATTAAGATGCATTGTTACACGTACCAACTCCCTGCAAGGAGTGTAATCATTGTGCACTGCAAACGTGTACTAAAAATAAAGAGTATGAAATGCGTGAACCTGGAACTCACCTCCTGATCCATAAAGTACACAGTCCCTTCTGCACCTGGCCATCTTACTGAGGACAACGAAATCATGTTTTGTCTGCAGCCATCGCAGAGGAGCACACTCATGTCCAGAGGCGACCACAGCGATGTGTCCAGTGGGATGAGTTCTGTGGACCTCTACTCCTTTGTCAAGAGCCCACAGCGGGAAGAGCTGCTGTTTGCCCCAGTGGGGCTTTACCAGGTACTTCTGAGCCCAGCTGGCTGCATGGAGGTCTTAAGGTGTACCTCTGTCCTCTGCTGCCCTTGTCCTTCAGTCCAGTGTGGTGTTCTGGAGAGGAGGGTGTGCTCTGTGCCAAAGCCAAGCTGGTCTTGTATCTCCAGACCAGGGCCTCTCAAACTTTAATGTGTATGTGGCTCACGTGGAGCTCTTATTAAAAATGCAGATAAATATATACAAATATTATATATCAATTAAAAATTTAAAAAATGTTTTAGAAATGTGGGTCCTGGATAAGTGTGGGGTGAAGCCTGAGATTCTGCATTTCTAACCAGCTCACGGGTGATTCCTATGCCAGCTTCTCGACTGGACTCTGCCTGGGTGATGGAACTTTCTGTGAAGATGAGTGCCCCAAATCTGCACTGTCCTTTATGGTGGCCACCAGCCTCGTGTGACTTGAGTGTGTCTGGGGAATGGAATTTAAAACTCCACCAATAAAAATTTACATTTTATTTAATTTTTATTAACTTCAATGGAAACAGCCTCATGTGGCCAGTGGCTGCCCTAACAGACAGCACAACCTTAGAGTGCGGGCCGTTCCATCCCGATGCCTCTCCAGGGTAAGCAAGGCGCCATCCTCGCCTGTCCTTTCTCACTCTCCTTTCCCCACCCTGGACTAGAGAGCCGCTGCCTGTGCTTTGAAGTCCTTTAGACACTCAAGCCCCCTAGGGGAAAGTGATATAAGAAAAAAAAATCCTTTTAGATGGGGGCCCTGGAAAATAAAGGCAGAAAGTTCCAAGCAAGGGAAGAATTGCACATGCTTTAAACTGGGGTTAGGAGAGACTGGAGCCAAGTCATTGCCTATCGAACTGAATTTATTTTTCTAAATGTCTTATTTAAGTTTTCAAACTACAGAAACCTCCTGGGACACAGCCGAAACCCTTAGGGACCACCTTTCATGCAAACCTGCATACTGTGGTCACCTGGCCATGGAGAGAAGGAAGCCAGGAACGCCAAGCACCGCACTGTCTGGCTAATCTTCCCAAGTGTGTGTCTCACCGCTGGATTCCCCATTTTCCTACATGTTGGTGTCCAACACCTTTAATAAGTGACTCAGTCTTCTGACTACCCGGCCCCAACTTACTTTTAGAAACTTTTTCCCCCCTGGCCTAAATCTTACGCTCACCCGATCTGCCTTGCTGGTGATGTCATGCATGTCTCAGCCATGCCATGCCTGTTCTGCTTTGCCCACCCGATCTGGAATCTTCTCACCCTTTGGGACTCAGAATAAGCACTACCACTTGTGCCACCCCTTTGCTGCAGGTGCTCCTCCTCCATGGAAATCCCACCACTGTCTCGAGTCCTTTGCAGCTACTTTTACAATGAGAGTGGCAGGTCTGGGGCTGATGTTTAACTCATACTGAGGCTTGCCTTCTCTCTGGTCCAGGTTCTGGCTCTTCTTCTACTCAGTTGTTTGTTTTTTTTTAAACACATTAGTTTTTTTTTGTGTGTGGTGAATGACAGACTCTAAAAGCAGATTTAAGAAGTAATATCAATAAGAGATGACATTTACTGAAAATGGGTAGCAGGCATTGAGTTTCCAATGTGACATTTTAGAACTGATTTAAACCTCACAATAGCCTTATGGGATTGATGTGACTTTACTCTGTACTTTGGAGGTGGGGAAATGGAGGCTGGGAGACGTTAAGTCCAGTGATGGCACTGGGCTTTGAACAGGCATATGATACCAGACTTACCCTTACAACCTGAATAACTATTTCCTCTGAATACTGGGACATTACCACATAACAGGAGGCATGTGGTCTTGGAGTTAGGCATTCGCATTCTGGCTGTGTTGCCTACAGATGTGCAATCCTGGACGAGTTATTGACCTCAGTGACCCCATGTGGAAATGGACTAATCAAACCCAGCTTTCAGGGTTCTGATGCCAATGAGGGCTTGGTGCTGAGCAGCTTGCTCGGTGCCTGAATGCAGCACAGTGCCACCATGGGGTTGACTGGGTGCTGACCCCTCCTCGCCCCACACAGGTGGATCACTTGCTAGCTAGTCGTCTTTCTCCCCTTCCTCCTTGCCCTTTCTGAATAGAGTTGTTTCTGGGTCATCCTTGGTCAACAACATTACACTTTGTCTCTGATTCCAGGGAAACCACGTAGCCATCCACTATGCTGGTGATCAAGCCAACGCCTGGGTTAGAAAGCCGACCATGCTGCAGGAAGTCCGGCTGGTGAGCCCCTCTGTGCCACTCCCAGTGCCTGCCTGTGGGGCGTGGCCTCCACCCCAGGCGGGCAGCGGCGGGAGGTTGCTTCCTTAACTGTCGACCACCCATGCCCCAACAGCCCCGTTTTTGGACCTCAGACCCTTGATCTGACTCAAGCATCTGGAGCCTGGAACTCTCCTGCCTCTGATTTCCCCCCTTTATCCTCCCTGGCCTTCATTCTGGCCCTTCATCCTCTGTCTTTGGTAGCTGCTTATTAACCTTGAACCTGCACCCTGGAGGGAGCCTGACTGCTTGTTCTGTGTTATGACCTGTGGTGACGCACACACTGAGAGCTAGAAGCAGGGAAGCGGGGCTGGGTCTGGTTGCTGTGAGGTGGTTTAATCTAACTCACAGCTAAGATTAGACTTTGATCTTTCTTCTGGTTTATTTGCGGGAGCCAGACTTTCTGGGTGCCTCTCGGCTTGCTTCCCTCATCTGTAAAATGGGAAGAGTAATAGTTCTTAACTCACCAAGTCTTTCAAAAAGCTAACTGAAGGTTTGTGACCCTGGAAGATACACTCTGCATATGCTCTTGTTGTTGTTATTTCCAGATGTGTGAGTTAAGGCATGAAAACATCGTTTCCTTCTTTGGTGTTTGCACAGAACCACCTAACATCTGCCTTGTCACCCAGTATTGCAAAAAAGGGAGCCTCAAGGTAAGCCGACTGGGCAAACTTAACTCAGGCTTGATCGGCAGTAGCTAATAAAGAACCCTGTCAATGCTTCTTCCTGCTCAGCCAAAGGCAGCCCCTCTGGAGTCTAATTGGAAGACCTGAATTATCTTGTTGAGCTTTCTGCTGGGGATCGAATTAGCAGTGCAGCTCCCAAGTATTCAGATTTCTTTGGTCTGAGTGGAAACTGTACAGGCTCGGTTCCTTCTCCTAAAATGTCCTGGCTACTCCCAAATTGTGTTCTTGGGCCCATCATCCCCCTTTCCCTAATATGCGATCGTGAGCTTTATGTCAGGCACAGGAAGTGTTTGTAAAACTCGACTGTGTCCTTTCTCCTATCCAAGTACTAACCAGGCCTGGCCCTGCTTAGCTTCTGAGGAAGATGAGCTCAGTGCATTCAGGTGCGGCTGTAGACACACTTTTCCACTACTGAGCTAGGTTAGGGTATCTCATGGAGAGATTCCAAGTTACCTAAGCTCAATGTGTTCTCTTTCAGATTCTCTTAGTGTAGTCCTGGCCAACAACATCAGATACTAGAGTCAACTTGTTAAACGTATGATGCTCACTGTGCTTCTGCTCGAGTCACCAGTGATATTTTGAATAATTATGTTTTCTAGGACGTTTTGAGAAACTCAGATCATGAAATGGATTGGATATTCAAAATCTCATTTGCGTATGACATTGTCAATGTGAGTATACCATATACTTATTTAAGGGATAAACAAAGCAACTGGGCTGGGATTTTTGGTCTCTAGTTTTCAAGGCTGATTATTTTCCAGCTAGATCTTAGCTTTGGGCAAATCCTATTTTGGGACACACACTTTCCAGTACTTTGTTTTATTAATTTACTAACTCTCACAAGAAACTATAAGGTAGATCCACTGTTGCTCCCATTTCACAGATGGGAAAATGAGCCCCAGAGAGCTCATATAATTTTCCCTAAGTCTCATAGCTAACAAAGAGTGCAAACAGGATTCAAACTTAGGCACTTGTGAGTCTTACACTCAACTACTGTTTCACGCTGCCTCTCAGTAGGTGGAACTAGAGAATTGTTTTGTGTTTTGTAACAGGGACCAATAACTCTCACATCTAGATGCCAATTAGTGGCAGTTTAGGGACAATCCAGAGGGAGGTGCAGAGAGGGCCATTCCTTCTCGCTGCCATGAAAGTGTGTGTGTGTGTGTGCACACGTGTGTGCAGAGGCATGGCAACAAGATGACTCAGGGTGGGCATGCAGCTAGCAATGAGGGATGGAGGACTGGAATGGAGTGGGCTGTACTGTATGCACCAGCAGCCTGAGGCTGTTCTCCTCAACCTGAGCTGGCATCCGGCTCGCTGCTCTAAGCGTACACTTTTACCATGAGAAGGGGCTGAGTCAATGGCTGGGCATGGGCCTGAATGAAGAGGTCTCTCAGGCTGACACATGGTCCATCAGCAGGCCAAGGGCTGGTCCTCAGTGTCAGTGAGCAGTCTGGTCACCAGGCAGCATCTGCACCCAGCCACCAACAGATGCCTGTGGGGAAGACTCTGCTGGGGAGCTGTGAGGGCTACAAGGGAGTAGTGGGGCTCTGCCCTCTGAAGGACTGGGCCACTGACTCACTGAATGACTGTGCCAGGCTGCAGCCCTTCTTTGCATCTCAATTTCATATTGGCATAATCGATGAGGCTGGCCTGGTTGACGTCAAAGTGTTCTTCTTCCTCGGAGATTTTACTGCCTTTTGTTTCTAAGAAGCTGAGTCTTATAGCCTGGTGTGAGTTTAATTTTCTAGGCCACAGCAGAAAGCCAGCATCTTGTTGGCAAGTAAGTTAGACAAACAGAAGCCTCTCTGTAATTTGGTCTCCAAGAACAACCCTGGAACAGCACTGTTACTGCATTAAAACAGTAATGAGCATCTTTTAAGGGTTTATTCTCCTATAAGGCCCTTTTGCAGGGAGACAAGGACTTTTGGCTATCACATACCAATCATAAAAACAAGTCTTCTCAGCCAGGCACAGTGGCACACACCTGTGAGCCCAGCATTGAGGGAGGCTGAGGCAGGAGGGTCACCTGTTTTAGGCCAGTCTGGGCAACTCAGTGAGACCCCATCTCAAAACAAACAAACAAACAAATAAACAAACAAAAAGTAAATGGACTGGGGATGTAGCTCAGTGGTAACGCACCCCTGGGTTTGACCCGGTACCTACGAAAGTCTCCTCTCTATGTCTGTTTGACCAGCACCTCATTTATACTAGGTACCAGAGAGATTCTGCACTCCTGAAGGCTTTTCAAACCAAAGTGCAAATTGGACCTCAGTCTGTTGGAGTCTGGCTGGGGACACCCCAGAGCCAGCCCCTCTTCCTGGTCTGGTTGAGTGGCTTTGCATTTCAAAATGTGATTCTGCTTTACTGTGTCAAAAACAAGCCACAAGGATAAAGGAGCACAGGCAGTCCCTTGATTTGGGGGTGGGGTGGGAGGTGATGCATTTTCCTTCCAATGCAATATTGGCCTCAGGGCTCTGGGTTAAAGGGGACCTTGGAGACTCTGCCTGTCAGCAGCGTTTGAACTGCTGCCCTAGGTGCAATCATCTGCTGAGGACATCCACGCACATCCCACGTTGCTGCACTGTCTGGGGCATCCTGAGTTCAGGCCCAGGCATGACTTCCTCCCCCTTGCTACTGGCTCTGAACTGCATTGTGACCTGGCTGCTCTTGTGAAATGGCGTTTGGGAGTAAATATACCTTGACACACTCCTTCCTTTGTTCTCTTCCCTCCTCTCCTCCACAGTCCCAGGGCAAAGGAAACAGTACACTTTAGTGGCTTAGGCATGACAGGCTTTAAGGTCATCCATCCTGGGTTTAAACCCAGCTCTGAGCCTGACTTCTTGGGAGCAATTTAAAACCCTGAATTTGCTCATTGTGAAACCGAGGATGAGAATATTAACCTGCCTCAGCAAAGACTACACGTGACAGTAGTTGTAGAGCACTTCGTATAGTGCACAGTACAAAGTGCCGCAAACAGATTCACGCTTACTTATCTGGTCATCACAAATCAGTATTACAGTGTGGAAACTTGTAGCTACAATGGAGCATCCATTACTTCCCATTCTCTGCCTTTCATCAGCAAAGGGGTAGCTCAGGGTCGGTCAGGGCACAGGTTGAGAATCAGACAGCAGGATTCTCAGTCCAGTTCTATCACTCCCAGCCTGGGGACCTGGGCAAATTAATATCTGATGACGCCATTCAAGAAGGTAAGGAAAACAAAACAAGATAAGAACCAGCACCATGTTGTGCCTGCCCTGCGTTGAGCTTCTGAAAAGTGTAGCTACTTCTCATCACCACTTCCAGGTCTGCACTTAGAGATTTCAGAGGGCTGCAAACATCCTTTCCTGGCATCATGGTTGGAAAACAAGGATGACTTTTTTCATTTTGTAAAATGACCTCTTCACCTACCTGTCCTCCCGGAACACGTCTCTCCCTTCTCCACCCCAGTCCTTGCTGTGGCCCCTCCCTCCTGGAAAGTTCTCCACCCTTTGCTAAGCAGAGTTTCCCATGCCTCTGTGACTCACCTTCCTTAGCAAGTGTCTCTGGAGCAGGCAGCTCTCCCCATCCTGATCCTCTGCTGTTTTGGGTCCTTAGTGGTCATGTTTGGCTTGGTCCAGCTGTTGGTGCTCAAGCATTGCGTGCTGGTTTGGTTGAAGGTACCGAGGAGATTCTAATGTCCAGCTGAGATTGGGCAAACTTGGCCACCACAGGTCTCCTCAGATTCTGTGCCCAGAAATCCTGGGGGACCCTTGTTCAAATGCACAGTGCAATTCAGTCAGTCTGGAGTGGGGCCCAGGACTCTGCATTCCTGCTCAGCTTCCAGGCCATCATTTAAATAGCAATAGCTGGGAAGTCCCATCTCACAGATGGGAAAATCAAGGCCCAGTGAGGTGAAATCACTTACTTTAAGAGAGAGATTGGTAAAGCCCAGGCTTGAGTACACATCTTCTGACTTGAGGATTTTCTCTGCCCTCTTCATAGCATGTAACCACTGAGAACATAGTAATAATAATAATTAATATCATAACAGAATTATAATCATAGTGGATGACAGAAGAGTTTCTCAGTGTTCCTCATTTTATTGCTTGTTTTCTGCAAAGTGCTCAAACAGAACCCTTAGGCACATATAACAGTATATATGGAGACAATAGGATGCTTAATTACTTAGTAATTAATTAATTACTTCATTACTTAATTCTTTATCATAGTAATGCATTTATCATATTTATGTAATTTTTATTATGCTTTACATTGGGTGTTCTCTTTGTATCATGTGCTGAGTCTGGCATTTCGCTTTTATTATTACACTTAATCTCCACAATCATACTATGCTGTAAGTATTATGGTTTCTTCCATTTTGAAGAGAAGAATAAGGCTTGGAGGATAAAGCAAAATGGTGGAGGTGGGCTTTGGGCACAGGATCTGATCACGAGGGTATATTTGGAGTGAACTGCCTGGGTCTTCTTGGCTCCTCTCCCTTTTAGGTGTCTGTGTGTAGGCTGACTCTGTGGACCAGGGTGTTTCTGATGGCTCTTTAACAATGGAGCCCAGAGGTAGCCAGGCTGCCCTGGCTTGAGTGTCTGTCTGTGTTTCAGTCCATCTGTTCACCTCCCTTTCTCCTACCAGGGCCATAGGACCTGGTCTGTGTCACTTGCTCATTGTCACCCTTGCAGGGCATGCTGTTCCTCCACAGGAGCCCACTGGGGTCCCATGGCAACCTGCAACCTTCCAACTGCCTGGTGGATGCTTGCATGCAGGTGAAGCTGTCTGGATTTGGGCTGTGGGAGCTCAAGTATGGCCAGACACATAGAGCACAGAATGAGAAAACCACAGACCACACAGGTAACCATTGGAAGGTCTTGCAGCCAGTAGTTGTCAGCTGAGTTATCAAAGGGTTTCTCTCTGTGTCTTTGCTTCCTGATGCACATTTGTCCAGGTACCCACAGCTGGACCTGCACCTCCAGCTGTGCCATGGGCTGCTCCATTTCACTCTGGGAGAATGACAGAAAAAATGACCCTTCTCTTTAGCCCTCTGTCCTTTGCAACATTCCTCCTATGTTCTCAGCATAGGCCTTGAGATCTACCAGACACTTTAAAGATAACCAAGTTCCACACTTGTCTGTCTTGTAGGTGGCAGGCCCCAGTCCTCTTATTAATGGAGTCAGAAGACCTGAAGATGGGGTCTGGGCATCTGTATTGTTTCAAAGTGCTCATGTGATTCTGAAGTATATCTCAAAACAAGACCCATAGCTCCAATTCCATATGAGCAGCTTGGAGCTCAATGAGTCTTCCTACTTGCCCAAAGTTAATTGCATGCCCTTGATTCTCATCTGGTGCATCCGAGGCCACACTGAACCCACCATCCTCAGGCCTGTGCCGCTCTGCTGGGGCAGCTCCCTGGCAGCATCTTTTCTGTGTGAATATGGGAGGTTTCTGTGCCATGAAACAAGATGATGTCATACAGAAAGACAGGGGGAGGTTTTAAAAAACTGCTGATAGCTGCTCCTGGTTCCCCATCCCATAATATATCTTCTTTTAAGGACTATAGGCTATAATGACATGAGGCATGATTGAAAAACATGGTATGTGTTTATATTTAAAAAATGTCTTATAGCTGAGGATTTAGCTCAGTGATTTCGCCGCCTGCTGCGTAAGCGCAAAGACCCGAGTTCGATCCCCGGTACCAAAAAAAGAAATGTCTTACAGTAAAAGACACATTGGCATCAATCCTCCTCAAAATACTCTCCCTTGCTTTGAACACACATATCTCACCATTCTTGCCACTTTCTGGAGCAGTTCTGGAAGTACTCTTTCGTGAGTGTCTATAGTTATGTTGTAATGGCTGCCTCAGAGTTCTGAATCATTTCAAAATGTTTGCCTTTTATGGTCATTTTGACTTTGGGGAAGAGGAGGGTGCCAGATCTAGGGAATAAAGTGGATGAAGACACTTTATGATGTTTTTTTATGAGCCTGCCTTCCCTTTGGTTGGCACTTGGCAGCAGCAATCATTGTATTTTTGATCACGCTTTGTACAGACACTCAGAAAACAGGACTTCCAGAACTGCTTCAGAAGGTAGCAAGGATGCTGGCATAAATGTATTTGCAGCCAGGGGGACTGTTTTGAGGTGGGTTAATGGCAGTGCTGTCTTTTACTGTAATAATTTTTAAAAATTTAAATAAATACTGCCTTTTCAATCACCCCTTGTATAAACCTATAGACCCTATTACCAAAAGAAGTCGACATAGGAAACATCCAGAATAGGGAAATCTATAGGAACAGTGCAGATTGGTGGTTGCCAGGGGTGGAGGAGAACGGGGAGAAGCTGTCTAATGGGTAGAGAGTTTCGTTTTGCCATGGTAGAAGTTTCGAAACTAGATCAAAGTAGGTGATGGTTACACAACACTGTGAACATGCTCAATGCTACTGACTTGTTTACTTTTAAAAAGTTAGTTTTGTGTTAGGTGAACATTACCTCAGTGCATTAAAAAAAATATAGACAATAGGGAAAAAAAGAAAGAAAGGAAAGCAAATGAATAAACGACTCTAAACTCCTAACGCACATCCTCCTGGCCATTTTCTCCATGCTCCCTCCCATGGAGCCCTGTTCCATTCTGGTCAGAAGCCCCAGGGCTGGGTTCTTGGGCAGATGCCCCCTCTCCACACGCCCTGAGAATGAAGCAAGGGCTGTTATTTCCTAAGCTGCTCTTGCCCCACCTGACATCGCTTTCTTTGCAGAGCTCTACTGGACGGCGCCTGAGCTCTTGCGTCTTCCCCAAGTGCCCTGGCGGGGCACCCCGAAGGGAGATGTCTACAGCTTCGCAGTCCTCATGCGGGACCTGATCCACCATCAGGACCACGGACCCTTTGAGGACCTGGACGCGGCCCCAGATGGTAAAGCTCTGCGCTACTTGGGAGGGTTGGGCAGGGTGGCCTGGCTTGGAAACACTTGTCCTTACTGTGCTGCTATCTATAATGCATTCTGTTCTTATTTAACATTTTATATTCCTTAAACTAGAAAATGAATTGCATGTGGTTAAAAAAAATCCAGGGACTTGGAATGATATCATGTAACCTCCTGTGTTCCAGCTGCTAGAGTGAGGCTGTTGGAAAATGAGTCAGTTCTCTGCTCCATATCCTCCCGTGGCTCCCCATTGGGGAATTTATACCAAGTCCTTTCCTGGGCCCAGAAAGCCACTGTGGTCCTCTTAACTCTCTGGCCTCTGTGTCCCTTAGTCCTACTTTCCCAGGGCTGCTGTGACAATTACTATACACTTGCTGTCTCTTGTAGGGACCGAAGTTCAAGATCGAGGTGTTAGCAAAGCCCGGGTCCATTCTTTGCCTCTTCCAGAATCTGGTGGCTGCTCCAGCCCTCCTGGGCTTGTGGCTACATGGCCCAGTCTCTGTCACCATCTTCAGATTCCCTCTTCCGAGTGTTTGTTCTCTCTATGTCTCTTGTAAGGACACTTGTCATTGGATACAGGCCTAGGTGGATAATCCAAGACATCTCAACAAAGACCATTTTCCAAACAAGGTAACACTGACAGATTGTGAAGATCAGGACACGTGCATATCCCTTTGGGGACCACCCTTCATCCCACCACACCTTCCTACTTCTGTTACCCACGGCTCACCCCTTCCAGGCACACCGGCCACCTTCACATGCCTCCACAATGCCAGACACATGTCACCCCAGGCCCTTTGCACATACTCTTCCTTCACCTCATATTCCTATTTACAAATCTGCCTCATTTTTTCTTAAGAACTGAAGAATTTTTCACGATGAGACTATACCATACATTAATCATGGATATTCACTTTGTTTCCCTTTTGCTGCTATACAAATTGCAGCGATGACCACATATGGTTGAATGTTTCTTCCGGATAGATTTAGAGCCATGAAATGGAAGTAATGACTATATTTTAAGTATGTTTAAAATTTATAATTGATGCTGCTCAACTGTCCACTAACAAAGAATACATTCTGGCTTGGTTTTCTGCTGTGTTGTCTCTTAAAAGCTGGGGGCTGGATCTCAGCCCCAGAGATTGATGTTGTTGTCTGGGAAGTTGCTTGGGACTCAGTTAGAAGCTCCCTAGGTGGTTCTGATACGCAGCAGTTCAGGTTGAGAACCACTGCCTGGGGAGAGGGAGAATGAGGGGTGTGCGTTTCTAAGCAGACCCGACCCAGCCCAATCTTCTCTCTCTGAGCCCATCTGCACCGGTCTATCTTATGTTTCATCTTTACCTGATCCCACATTCCTTGAACACTTTTAAAGTCTGGAGACTGCAGGGCATGCAGTTGCTTTAAAACAGGACTCCAGTTTCTAGATGAAACAGGTGAGACTAATCCAAAAGAGGTAACTCGAGGTCCAGGTGGACCTGACTTTGGATCCGGGCTAAGAGGCAAATCCACCCAGACTGAGCCCAGGTGGGGCCCACCTGCCATCCCAAGGCCCAGCTGCCCCCGGCCTTGCCAATGGGGTCTGAGCTGGGCTGGGAGAAGTCTGTGGACGATGCATATACTGTATTCCTCCTCGTCGTACTCCTCACAAAAGTAAAGGAGAGCCCGTCCCATGGGCCTGGACTGTGTACGCACAATATGGCAACCAGGAGAAATACAGTGTGTGCTTAATTTATGGACAAACATGGGTCTTTTGTGAACTCTGCACACTTCTCTACAAACACACTTGGTGCTCAGAACTGGGTAAATATTAACCCTCTGAGAGAGCAGGTGAGTGCTTCTCAGACTCTGCCTGTTAGAGTCACCCGCAGGCTTGCTAAAGCGTAGAGCTGCTGGGTCGGCCCTCAGGGTTGTGACTCGGTTCCAAGTGTGCCGTGAGGCCAGAGAATGTGCGTTTCCACCTGGGCCCTGGGGAGTCACAGTCTGAGAGGTACCGGCCTTGGTCCTTGTGGTCGGTGGGCAGCACCTTGGTGCAGCCTGGGGACTTGTCAGAGATGTACATTTTCAGCCCTGCTCTAAGGCTGGTTCTCTGCAGATGTGGGGTGAGTCCTGAATACTGCCCCCTCCCACGAATCCACTGCCAGAACAAGAACAGCTACACCAAAGTGACCGGCAGACTGTTAGAGATTATAGGTTCGAAACTAGGGTGTGTTTTCTCTCCAGTTCTAAATTATTTTATTGACTCTCACAGGGTTATTTTGGGCAATCTGCAGGGCAGCAGAAATTCCAGGACTGAGTCTTTGGCCACTTCTTTTGAAGCCACTATTGTCCCTTTTGTTGAGTTGAGCTTCATCTAGGAAGCAAAACACACTTACCCAGAATACATTTTTATGAAGGTTCTTTCAGTACATTTTTAGGCATTGAAATACAGACATAAGCAAGAGAATATTTTGGGTACAATTTTGTAACCTATATCTTTAAATACATTACCTGAAGTTCATACTTTATTTAGTTTTTCTTGTATGTCCTTTTCCTGTCTCAACATCCTGTGCAGGGTAACGCATTATATTTAGTCATGACATCTCCTTAAACTTCTCCTGGAAAAGGCCTCAGACTTTCCTTTTTTAAATGACCTTGACACTTTGGAGGAGTTTTTCTGATCAGATATTTTGTAGAATCTCCTTCTCAGTTGTCTGATTTTTGTTCCTTTTCTCATGGCTGGACTGGGGTTCTGGGTGTATTGGAGGAAGACACCGGAAGTAAATCACATCGTAGTGGAGGCGTGTACTTTCACACGAGTGTCATGGCTGATGTTTTCCTTGATCACCTGCCCGAGGTAGTGCTTGTCGATTCCCACTGTGAAGTTGTTCTTGACTTCCTCCTTCTATATTGACCATAGGACAAAGTCCCTGTGTAAGGCCCACACTTTTAAAGAAAATATTTTTAGTAAAAAATTAGTACTTGTGTGTAGTACATGTCTACATTCTTTGTGGGAAGTTGGTACAGGTACCTAACACATCTTAATTCCTTTTTTAATCTCGTGTTTCTCTCCTTTCCCTTCCTCCCATTCCTTGATCTCTTCCGTGTGTGTGTGTGTGTGTGTGTGTGTGTGTGTGTATGTGTGTCCATGTGTGCGCGGGCACATGTTTGCTGTACATAATGTAGACATTTCTTGTGTAGAGTTGGAACGTGTACATAGCACATCCCAATTCTTTTCCCCCATCCTCCATGTCTTAATCCCCTTCACCTTTGGGAATGATCTATCTCCCCACTTCCAATGATGTATCTTTTATTTCACTCTTTATTTTTTCTCTGGGTTTCTCATATAAGCAAACCATGCAATATTTAAGCTTGTGTGACTGATTTGTTTCAGTTTACATTATGGTCTCACAGTGCATTCATTTTCCTACGAATGACCCAAACTTGTCTTTCTTTATGGCAGAGTAGTGCTCTACAATGTATGTATACTGCATTTTCTTTCTCCATTCATCTGTTAGTGGACATATGGGCCAGTGAAGCCCAGATTTTAAGGGAGGGAGGCTCCAGCTTCTTCAGGGAAGAAGATCTGCAGAAATCTGGAATTCATCTCTGGCAGATTTGTCTACTTTGCTACACTTATCTATTTTTTTGGTTATTTATTTCTATCAGTGTGGATTCCTGTATATTTATTTAATACTTGGGTTACGATCTAATGCTACTTTATTTTGGTGCTGAAATTGTTCCATCTTTGACTATTCACAATTCAGTTGGTGTCTGAATCTCTTTCATACATAAGCATTGTGATGGTGCTTTGCTTTGTCTGAAGCACTTTCCTGCCTTCCAGCCTTGCAAAGTGCTCCAGGCTTATCGTGTAGATCTTCTGCCCCAGTGCTAGAAGCAGCCAATTCTTCAGCAAGCCTTGCTTAATTTTTGTTGGAGGATTGTGTTAGGAAATAAGTCCTAGATTTAGGTCTGCTTGTTGCTACTGGGGTGTAGTAGCTTATAGGGCCTCTCAGTGGATAGGCAGGTAAATGTTCATTTATAACTATACACATATATATCTGTGCCTAGATAAAGCCAAATGGACCTCATGCCGACCTCTCCAACACTAATTCATCACCACCCTGGTTCATTCAAGTCTCCCCCTTGCTTGTCTATAACCTCTCTGTCCAGTAGCAAGGACGCAGGCTCCTGTGATCTGCCATCCATTTCCTTATTTGTTCAGTCGCAGTGTGTGTATATGTCAGTTCTGGTCTTATTAAGCCTGTACACCCTCCTTGGGAAATGATTGAACGCAGTGATTGTGAACCATCCCTTTGATCTTTCCTTGTCTCATCTTCTTTTGGAAACTAAGTAGGTCAGCACCTCTTCCCTCTGTCCCTTCCAGTGAGCTTGCATCATACATTTACATGCAAACTGCATTTCAATGCAGTTAGATTTTGCATTCCTCATGGTCCACTCTGCACTGTAAAGTTCTGGGGGTTTGGGCAGTGACACAGTGTCAGGTGACCACTGCTATGGTATCATATGGAATGGTTTCCTCATTCCCAAACACTCCCCTGCACTTCACCTCTTCAATCCTCTGTCCTCCTCAAGCTGGTGGTCACCTCTGATTTGTTTACTGTCTCTATAATTTTGTCTTTTCCAGGCTGGTTAAGCAGAACAATACAGTACGCAGCCTTTTCATCCTGGCTTTATTTTTCTTAGTAACATGCATTTAAGATTCACCCGGGGCTGGGGATTTAGCTCAGTGGTTTTGCCACCTGCTACGCAAGCACAAAGACCCGAGTTCGATCTCTGGTACCAAAAAAAAAAAAAAAAAAGATTTACCCACGTTGTTGTAACCACAGTATTTTTTGTACCAAAAAATGTGTACATTATTCTCAAAATACCCTTTCCTTTACGAGTCTGGTTGAGCGGAATGCTTAGTAAATATTGGTGGAAGCCAATGAAGAAGTAAGAGGAAGTAGGTTTACAATATTGGATAGAGAGGAAGTGTGTGACAGTTATATTTATTATTTGTTAAAATTCCTTTTACGCAGCATATTATATGGAATGGAAAATTGCATAAAGTGTATTTTGGTGATGGCCCACACCAAATGGTTATCCATCCTTAAAGTCATGTGGAGGTATGATTCCTTTCAAGAAAAGTTCTATTAAAAAAAATTTGAAAGGGCTGGGGATTTAGCTCAGTGGTGCCTCTGCCTGCCTCAAAAATGCAAGGTCCTGAGTTTGATCCCTGGTACAAAACAAAACAAAACAAAACAAAAAAAAAGGATCGCTGTGAGTTCAAGGCCAGCCTGGTATCCAAAAAAAAATCTTGATTTAGAAACTGATTAATTAGGGAGTGCTTATGTTTTCCATGAGAATTCTTCATTTTCCACAAGGATTCAGAATATTATTAAATTATTCAGATTGCTTTGGAATTCTAATATTCCACTTATTTGAAACTCAGTTTGCTAAGAGCACAGTTCGTGTTTAAAGGGGGCTACTTTACTGAGTGACAAAGTTCAGACCTTTGGTTATCTCAACCCCAAATAAATTTCAGAAATCATCAAGCAAATCAGAGAGCCCACAGCGGCGGGGCCCCTGCGACCTTCCCTGTCTGAGGAAAGGGGCAGTGCAGAGATCCTAGTCATGGTGAGGACCTGCTGGGATGAATCTCCAGAAAGAAGGCCCACTTTCTCTTCCATCAAGAAAATTTTACGAGAAGCCAGCCCCGGAGGGTGAGTTAGATGTGGAAGGACGTCTTCTCCCAGGCATTTGACCATTAGAATTTTAAAACTCATGACTACGATGGTTCTTTGAGGCCCTTCCCTCCCTCCATCTCCCCTCCCCTCCCTCCTTCCTTCCCCGTGTATTCAGCCCTCTCGTCCTCTATTTCAGATGTCACTAATCAGTAAAGGCTCCCTTTCCCAGGAGGTTTGATGTAGCCTCAGAATCCTTTTCAAATCAGCATTTCAAGGGTCAGGGTGAATCAATTGGAATTGGGCTGTGGGATAAAAGCTATTCACCAACTTTAAAGTAGTTTTCCCCACCAATTCTTTACTTCTTTGTGTGTGTGTGATGCTGGGGATGAAACCCAGGGCCTCTCACGTGCTAGGCAAGCTTCCACCACAGAGCTGCACCCCCAGTCCTGAAGTAAGTTACTACTTTAGATCATGCATGCCTCTCAAATCATTTTCGAAGTGGTAGCTTTCTTCATATCAGGATCATTGTATCATTGGTTGATACACTGAATGTATGAAGGTACCACCTGTTAGAAGCAGCTTGAGTAGGTAGAAAGAGTGTGGGGCTGAGAGTCAGGTGTCCACTCCTAATTTGGCCATTTAGCTATGTGAACATCAGCCCTGGATTTTCCAAATTGTGGTAGTTTTTAAATTTCTCATTTTTATATTATTTTTAACTGATGAATGACAAATTGTTTATTTTTTTGATATAAACTGTGATGTTTTGATATCTGCATATTTTATGGAGTGGTTAAATAAAGTTAATTAGCATAACAGTATATCTTGACTCTTTACTTGGACTATGGTTCCAATATTAAGATGATTTCTTATTTGAGTTTTCGTCTCCTCACCTAAAAGATGAGGAATTTAAATGATTTCTCTGAAGACCCTTCTAAAACAACGAGCTGTGGGATCCAGATGTGCCCCTTGTGTTGGACAGTCAGTCTAGTGGCATCTGTGTTCTGGCGTGGAGCACGCTGTTGAGCGGGAGAGGGGTCATCGAAGGCCACGGTTCACCCAGCCCTGAGCACTTTATACACATCACGGCCCTACCTGTGAGATGTGTTATTACCCTCACTTTCCAAATGAGTAAACTGAGGCTCAGAGGGTGCAGCCTATGCCAACAGTGCTGGGAAAGGACGTCTGTGCCCCGCCACGTGGCCCCATCGCCATTGTCATTCCATTGCTGTACACCGGCAACACTGAGGTCGGAAATCATAGGGGCGAGAAATGTGTCTTTGGAATGTGCACCTGGGAGTTATGCTCCACTGCAGTCCTACGATTCCTGGAAGAAGGGGTTCAATGCCTGGGTTCTTTTAAAGCCAGGTGAACATCCTGGATAGTATGATGAGCAAACTGGAAGTGTATGCCAGCCACCTGGAGGAAGTGGTAGACGAGAGGACCAGCCAGCTGATGGCAGAGAAGAGGAAGGTGGAGAAGCTTCTGTCCACCATGCTGCCCAGGTATCCCCGGCTTCGGGAGTCTTGGTGAAGAAACTCAGGGGGCAAGAGCCTTAATAGCTAGGAAGCTGCCCGCAGAGGGATTATTTCATTGCTCTTTTTCTAAGAAAATGTCAGGTTCTTCTAAAAGAAACCAAGCCTTTTTGGGCGTGTAATTTGGAATACCTTGTTAGGGGAGACAGAGGGCCCCCTGCAACCTCCAAATCTGTAAGAATGGAGAAAAAAGTAGTGAGATCTTCCTTGTGGAAGGTGGTGGGAGAAGCAACAGAAGAGGACCACCAGAGGGCGCTCTAGGTTCATGACTCGAGCTAATGACTAACACAGCAGTAAAACCTTTGCAAAATACAGCACATCCTGTACCCCGACCTCAGATTTAAAAAGTCCTTCAGTTTTGGTTCCGTTTTCACCTGTTCACTCTCTTAACATTTGGCAGAAACTTTTGATATTAAAATTCCTGTACATTTCTGTGTCTTGGCCAAAGTAATGGAAGCAGGCATTTTAATTTGTTAATAGTGTGAGATTGATTAAGTGAAAAAATACCGATTTGTGGATTAGTGAATGATTACGTTCACTTTCACATCTGCAGACCAAGTCTTTGTAATCAACCTCTATAAGCGATAGGGGAAAATGAGATGCGTCAGCCCGAAAAGCTGTTTTATAAAGGCACCTGTGACCTGTGCCTGTCCCTTCCCGGTTAGAGCCACCAATTAAAGCGCCCCCCGAGGGCAGCTGGGCAGGAGGGGCTGTCCGTAGATGAGACGCGTGAGATCTTGTTAAAGATGATCTTTTCTCCCACAAGCAAAACCAAAAAACCCCGAATGATCTTTTCTCTGGCTCCAGCTTCATTGGAGAACAGCTCATCGCTGGAAAGTCGGTGGAACCGGAACATTTCGAGTCTGTGACAATCTTTTTCTCGGACATCGTGGGGTTCACAAAGCTGTGCTCCCTCAGCTCCCCCTTGCAAGTGGTGAAGCTCCTCAACGACCTCTACAGCTTATTTGACCACATCGTTCAGACCTACGACGTGTACAAGGTGAGGCCGGTCTGCAGGCGCCGCGCTCCTTGCTGGTGGCGCCCAGCACGTCGGCCTCTGTTCCCTTCCATCATTTTAATCCCACAGGAAAGACTTCTTTTGGCAATACTTAAGGGTCGAACCTAGGGCCTTCACACTGAGCTACATCCCCGGCCCTTTTATTTTTAATTTTGAAACAGGGTCTCCCTATGTTGCTAAGCAGCACAGGTTGGGCTCAAACCTTCAGTCCTCTGCCTCAGCCCTCCTAGGGTGCTGGGATTACAGGCTGCACCACCACGTCCAGCTCGTAAGCACATTGTTAAGGAAGCACTGACCTCCTGTCAGCTAATTTCTCCCCTTCTCTCCAGAATATATGTCCTCTGGGTTCAGGGAGGCTCCTACATCATCTTCCTTTAAAGCCCGACTTTGGGTCTAGTGTGAGTCTCGCTTCTGTAGTTGTGATCTTCAGCATTTCGGGGTGAAGACAGACTCCCCAAGTTTGGACCATCAGACTCCTGGGTAAAGGAGAGGTGGCCACAATCCTCTGCCTGGTGCTGCTTGGGAGATGTGTGAATACGTTCTCTCAGAATGAAAGACAGTGTGGGATGAGAGTGCAGAAACATTGATATCACATGATTTCTCTTATATGAGAAACCCAAAATATAAATAAATTAAAGCACAAAATAAAAGATAGCAGGAAACAGGGAGATAGGGCTTTTGCACACAGGCAGGGGACCAAGAGATAGAGGGAGAAGGGAGGGGCAGGGAAGGGGGTGAAGAAAGGATTAAGATGTGTTGTGTACGTGTACCAACTCCCCACAGCGAATGTGATCAATACACACTGCAAACGTGTACTAATAAAACATCTTAAAGATCAGCTTTGTTCGGTGGTGGCGCTGACCACGGTTTTTTTGAGTTTTCTGGCAGTTTGAATGGGGTTGGATCACGGTCCTGGGGACAGTGCCATGTGTCTGTGTCACACATGCCTGGTGGCAGCTGCTTGTGCACCTGCCTGACCATGAAGCCAGGACTCTGCCCGCTGTCCTGGGACCAGTGAGATTTGGGGGACAGGGTGGCCATAGTGCTCAGTGACAGGTCTTCAATGTACCCCCCAATGTTCCCCACAAATGATGCCCCAGTTCACAGATCTTCAAGACCAGGTCCCCTCCCTGACAAAGCCAGCACCTGGACAGCGTCATCTGGGATTTTCCTGAGTTACTTTCTCAGCAATGCTAATATTGGAACTGATCGGTATTTCTAAAGAATGTTCTTGTGCTGGGGAGAGGTAGCCTAGAAGCAGGTGGGGCTTGTTGACTAGTTGACTTTGTTTGTAACTTGAGGGTGAGCAGGACAGAAGCGTTCTGGTGACCTGGCTAATGCCTGAAGATCCATCTTTCCCATGTCAGCTTTGGACTCTGCTAAATATAATTGTGTCTGGAAAGGGTTGAAGCTTTAAGCTTCTACTGGCATTTATTTCTCTATTGTGAATGAAGGATCTGAAAACTGACTTTACTCGACTGATTAAGGGAGAAGAAGATGGATAAAGGAGATACATGTGTTTCTGTTAATCTAGATCAGTGCTTTTGTGTGGTGTATCACGTGTGCCTATCTATAAATGTCTATGAGCCCTGGGTGGGGGAGGACACTTCAGGTTGGGGAGGTTGCACCCACTTGATGGATCCACCCGACCCTTCAAGATGTGCCCCACCAGTACACTGCTACCTGACTGGTTCTGAACTTGGGCTGGGGAATGTGGCCACCACCACAGTGAGCTTTAGGAGGTGAAGCTCTGGTGGGAGGAGCAGGGCTCAGGGAAGGCAGGCTTCATGGAGGAACCAGAATGAGAACATGGACTTGAAGAAATGCTGGGACTTGGATGGAGTGGGGGTCAGCAAGGGTCAGTCTTCAAATACGGTGCCTCAAGGCAGAGATGAACAATAAGCAGCTTTGACCTATGACCCCATCCCATCCTCTACCTACTGCCTCTCTCATGGGAGGCAAATGTTCTTGCTTTATTTTCAGGTCGAAACCATTGGAGATGCTTACATGGTGGCTAGCGGACTTCCCATCCGCAATGGGACCCAGCATGTCGACCAGGTGGCTACCATGGCCCTGAGCTTGCTTGGTGCCACCATCCACTTCCAGATCGGGCACATGCCAGAGGAGAAGCTCCAGCTCCGGATTGGCCTCCACACAGGTAGTCAGAAGCAATGGCGGGGTCGGGGTCCATATGGCCCAGGTCTAAGGCTTTTAGGAACAGTCACTGCATGGTAAGAATGCCAGGGGAGCAAAGCTCGAGCTGTCTTTGCATGTCAGGTAGCTTGCTTGGTGAGAATAAGGACACAGTGGCTCCAGGATGCCAAACCAAAAACAAGAGGAAGAACAAAAACCAGGACAGTGCTGGGCGACTTCTCCTCCGTGTGTCTGTATTGAGTGACCCTTAATGTGTCCTATTTTTGTCAAACTCATGGGCATGTGATCTGTACAGAACTGACCCCTACTTAGATTAATACTTTTCGGTCGCTGTTTTGAAATTCTTAATACTTTCTGAACAGAGTCCCATCTTTCATTTTGCACTGGGCCCTGAAAATGACGTAGCCAGTGTCTTAGTCAAATTTGTCCTTCGAGTCTCACTGAAATCAAATCTGACCTCCAATCAGAATTAGTTATTTCCATCTTTGTGCCACTGTAGGCATTGTTTATATCTCTAGTTCATGAAGAAACATGGCCATTTGTTGGTTATGGAGCTTCCCACAGGAAATTTGTGGGTTGGGAGGTTGCCTCTTTGTAAACTGAGACATGTTGCCAAGCTCTGGCCCAAGAGGCCACTTCACGAGTATTTGTTGAGCTGCCCTTGTAGACTATGCTCCCCCTGGAGGCGGGTTATACCCTCGGTTCTGTGTCCGCAGGTCCCGTGGTGGCAGGTGTGGTGGGAGTCACCATGCCCAGGTACTGTCTGTTCGGCGACACGGTGAACATGGCGTCCAGAATGGAAAGCAGCGGCTTGCGTGGGTATTGTTTACCGCACTCTGCTAACCCAGTATCGCTGTCCCTCTGAGCCCCTATCTTTAACCAGATGGTATTTTTAGAAGGCTCCTTTGCCTTTTTCTCTCGTTTTCCATCTGGGAGATAAGATCATGATTTGCTTCAGACAACAGGGATCCCAAGGTGTGTAGACAGGGTTTTGTACTCTACTCTCATGGAAGCCCACACGCCTCCCCTAGGGCTTTTCATTCTAAACAGACACATGCGTAATAGAAGAATTTAAACCAAGAGCAAGAGTGGGAGAACTTTTCCTGCACAGGGACAGACAGTGAGCATTTTTGGCTTTACGGGCCACAGAGCCTATGGCAATTACTTAATTCTGCTATTGTAGCTCAAAAACAGCATGGCCCTGTTCCACTAAAACCTTATTTGCAAACACAAACAGTGGGGTGTACTACTTTTCCCACCCCTGATGGATGGTCTATGCTTAAGGATAAAAAAGACTTTGTCCAGTAACTCCAATGACCATCACAGTCTTTTGCTTTATTGTAATTTTATTGCCTTGACTATTGCTAGACACGATATACCATTTATCCATTCTGACATGGAAAAAAAGAACTGCTCAGTAATTAAATTTGAAAGAGTTTAGATTAACATTGTTTTGTATTTATAGATTTCCCAGAAGCTATAAAAATGTACACATAATTTCCCCTCTGATTCCTTTTTTGTCTTAAGTTACTCAACCAAGTCTCAAACACAGATTTAGACTTTCTCTTAAAAGGAAAGGTTTTCAGAACAAATTTGGAAGATGGTTGGTTATGTGGGCTCCAAACCCTCCAAACCGAGTCTAGTTGTATTTCTTGGTGCAAGCAACATTTTCAGTAATATGTCCCAGCTTACCCAGAAAGCTTGGGGGCCCGGGGAGCACCCCTCCATGGGGGTTGCCAACTGGGACGCTGAGCCAGTTCTGCTTTCTGCTTTGCAACTGGACACACAGAGTTGTGCAGACCCATTGATGTCTGGATGGCTGGTGTCCCAGGCTTCAGCCATTTCTGTGCTTTGTTTAATGAGAGGTCCCGGGGAGTCAAAAAATACGAATAGGTAGCTTCCCCTTCCAAAGCAGCCCCCTCCACTGACATCTCAAGACCGTGGGTTGATGAGGCACTGACTGGTCTATGGCAGCTCTTCGGATCCACGTCTCTCAGAGCACGGCAGGCGCCCTGCTGGCCATGGGCGGGTACCATCTGCAAAAGAGAGGGACCATTCCAGTCAAGGTAAGGCTGGGCCACTGCGCCTCAGTGGCCTGCTTTGTGTGCCTCGGGAGACGGTGAAGAATATGGCAGGATAAATGAATGTCTGTGCAGTGGAGCCTGAAGAGGTGCATGCAGACCCACGAGGGGTCTCTGGGGGCTCTGTCTGCCAGGCCTTCTTCCTTCCCAGAAGCCCATGCGGTCCCTTCGGAGGCTCAGACATGGGCTGGCCACAGGACACACCTAGATGGACCCCTCACGGGACGCGTCTGTCTCTGCCGCCTGGGGTCCCGTAGTGTCCACTTGAACTCTGTCCGCCACACAGGGCAGGGAGATTTATAGCGCCCGCCCTTCTTTTCGTCCCTGCACCTGAGTGTGAAATGCCCCAGTGGAAGGGACGAAGTCCACTGGTAGTAGTATTCACCTCTCTCCATGCCGCTTCCTCTGCCTTCTCCTCAGCCTGGCCTCTCTGCGTCCCTCTCATCATTCCTTTGGGGTTGTCCTTTCCCGGACAGGCGCACCTGGCCCTCTCCGGATGTCCTCAGGGACAGTGGACGCGCACTATGACGCTGGGGGTTTTGGGGAGTGGGAAAGAGCGAAAGAGAAGGGGTTTGCTGACTTGGCCCTGGCACACTGCGTCCCGTCCCCTGACTGCAGGAAGAGGAGACTCTAGAAGGTAGCCAGGGTGCAGACCTCGCGTAGGGTCCTGCTGGCTCCTGTGTAGCTGTCTAACTAGGGAGGCCGGCTTTGGGTTCTGTAAAAGGAAAATGAGGACAATGCTGGGAGTAAGGGTTAGATGTCAGCAGGTATGGGAGGTGCTTTAGCCGGTGCCCGATTCATACCGGAGCTCAGTTAACTGTATTACTATTTTTTTTTTTTTTTTTTAGTACCAGGGATTGAACTAGGATCCTTGCGCTTGCGCAGCAGGCGGCGAAACCACTGAGCTAAATCCCCGGCCCAACTGTATTACTCTTTAAAAACATTCTTTTTGCAACTCCCCTGGCCCTCCCTCCCAGGGCGTGAGTGACTGTCCATCTAGACTTGTCAGCAAAGCCCAAGAAAAGCATCAAGGTCCCATGTGTCGGGAGGCCTTTCTCTCGGGACCAGCTCCCGTTCTCCTGGCCAGCAAGGCCGACCAGCCAGGCTTCCCGGGCAGCTCCTCCTCTGGATTCACCAGCTCCTTTGCCTCCCACAGGGCAAAGGAGAACAGACAACCTTCTGGCTGAAAGGCAAAGAAGGCTTCACGATTCCGCTCCCTGAGTTTCCTGAGGAAGAAGTGGGAGACCCGGAGATCGTGTGAGGTGGGTATTTTCTTTCAAGAGGCTTGTGCCGTAATTCTGAAGTTGAGTCAGTCTCCCACTAGAGGGGGCCATCGGGCCGCCTCCTCACCCACCCTGGCCTTTGCTGCCAGCTCTGGCCTCCAGCAGGGCGTCCTCAGAAGGGGTTCTGGGAAGGGCGCAGTGGGTGGGGCGTGTGTATTGTGAGCTCTTTTCCTGGAGACTGCCAGCGAGTCTGCCCCAGCTGCTGGAAATTTCCAGCCACTGAACTTGCGAATTTCTGGTGAACCCATTTCACCTGGGGAAAGGGGCAGGGAGGAAAAGCCTCAGACTGTCTTGCCTCTCCCTGCAAGGCTACTCGCTGACCCGAGTTCTTCTGTCCCTTATGAGAAAATCAGCTTGTGAGAGAATGGGAACCCAAATCCAAAGGCACCTCAGAGAGTGCTCAGGATAAAAGCTCTAAGGTCTGAGCAGTCCCAGCAGGGAGAAGACTGTGACAAGAAGACAGACCCTCTGCAGTGTTGCAAGGCCTGGACTCCGGGCCTGACTTCCTGTGAGCACTGGAATTTCAAATGGATAATGTCCGGTCTTAGTTTGTTGCCTAACTTCCTTCCTGTACACTCAACAAAAACTGTTGCCGTCAAAACTTGAATTGTAAGAGGAGTTTTTCACTCATTAATGAAGAGTTTTTAAAAAAAATTCCCAACAGACAAAGGTGAGCCCATCCATTCCTCTGATAAATATTTTGCCTCTATACAGAGAATAGAGTTCCGTGTTGTTTTACTTTATGGTTCTTTACAAAGATTTACTGACCTACTAATGCATTTACAGTGCTTCTTTCTTCTTCCCTTGCAACTCCTCTCATCCAGGTAGCTTCCATGTGGTTGCTCTTGAACAGGGCAAGGCAGTTGGAATGAGATCTTTTGTGGTTGAACTTCCCATGACTGAAGAAGTGAGAACCAATGAAGCCGGTTAGGTTTTCTTTCTTCCTGGACCTCTGAGCTGCCTTTGTAGAGATACTTTTGAGTTCTGTATTAGGAAATGCACTGCCTTTTGCTTTATTGCGGGACTTTGATACAAATTTTAACAAAAGGTGTGGTGGATTGTTGCTTTTCTTCAGGAAGTGGACCAAGAAAAGCACTTTTCCAAATAAGCCCATCTTTATTGAGCTCCCAATATTCCCAGCTGCAGTGCTCTGTTTTCCAGAGTCGCACGAGTGAATTCTACAACCCTCACAGACTTTGTTTCTATCATGGAATTCTGTTTTTATTGTGTTAGGCTCTGCTCCTCCCCGAAGGCCCTCAGCACCAAGAACTGACTGCTATTTAGGCTTATACTTAGAAGGCGGGAAGGCAGAAGGCATTTATATGAGGGGTACATGGGAGCTTTCCCCCTTCTACTCCAGCACGGAGATGATGGGCCAGGCGGGGTTTATCTTTTCATTTTCCATACCTTCTTCGTTTGTGTAGGATCCTGGCTTCTGGATCCCAAATACTTTGAAGCTATGAAAGAAAACAAGTTTACCTCTGCTATGAGGCCTCTTAAAGAGATAGGCCTGTCCCCATCCATCCATCCATCAGAACATTTTATTAATTCAAGAAGCATTTATTAAGCACTTATTCTGCGCCAGATACCACACTGGGGAGCTCAAGAGAATATGCAAGTTTCCTTGATCTTTTTCTCATGATTTAATTGGGAAAGGATGCAGCAGTAATGCTGTATTAGGGACTAATAGATCTGTGAACAAAAGTGCAGTAATCAAGCAATCCAGTAGTATTATTACTGGATATAGGGATAATATTCAGATACAGGGATGGAGTTGAACAAGTTAATCGTCTATTATTACCTCATCTTTGTAGTTGTGTTAAAGGTGTGTGTGTTTGTTTCTTTCTAGCCCTAGCCCACATGCTTACATAAGTTGTGTTCATATAATAAAGATTTAGTTAAATCTGCCTTCTTCATTGAACATTTTAACATGAATACACATACAAAACATACACACATAAGCACACACAAACACCCATATGCATTCATGGATACACACACACACAAATAAACTGTGCACACAAGTGAGGGGGGATGAGACAGAGAAACAGAGAGTGTTTAGGGATAGAGAAATAGGATTTTTGATAAGCTTATTTTCCTAAAATCTATATCCAGTGTTTTTTCTATGTTAACCAAGGATACCCGAGGGAGAATGTATGCATGTTTCCTCCTCCTCTTAATGCGTGCTTTATTTTTAGCACTAAGAAGATTTTACAAGAGATTATTTTGAGGGTGTCTCTTAATCCCTCAATAAAAAATGTTATAAGACAGGAAAGGTAACCAGTCATTGTGCAGCCTTTAGTTACCTTAAACCAAAACACATCCAGTTGCTGGCAGGAGAATTTAGGGTCATAGAGACAAGAGACCCTTTCCCTCAAATCACAGTCACACAGAATGGCTTCATCCCCTTGCATGGAGAGTTTGGAGTGGAAATGTAGGTCAGAACAACGGAAAGTCTGTGGTGTACACACGAGTCTAAGAAGCACTGGTAGTAGAGGCCCCTGGGAGGGTTGAAGAACTGACTTTCAACATGATATATTAACACTGTAAACTGCAGTGAGAGGTTATTTATTTTAAAACATTTTATTTATTGCATAGCACCAGGTGGAGATACATGATCATCAAACATACTGACAAAATAAAACCAAACTAATATAACATTGTTTTAGTCTGATAGCCAAAGACTTACAAATTTGGCTGTAAGTAAGCTATTTAAGAGTTTTAGACTAGAACCAATAAAATATGTCTTTTGTCTCTCCCGACTACAAAACTCTTGAGTTTGTGAAAGAGAAAGTTTTCAAACTAGTGGAGGACCAGATCCAGTGTAGATGCACGGAGTCATTTTCCTCTAGCCTGTGACTAACCACACGTACAGCTCATGTCTCTGGAGATTTGATAACTAGTTTAATTTCTGATTTCAGTAACACAAGCTATAAAGAACTACCAAACTGAAGATTTCAAAACTTCTCAAATACATTAAATACAGAGCGATCAACTAACATTTAATTTCAAGTTGTAAGGCTACTAATTGTCTTTATATGACTAAGACTAAAACTCGGGTTTTCTCATCATCTTCCAGCCAATTCTCCACCAGAGTTGGCTCATTCAGCTTTTATCTGGTTGACAAACATAAATTATTGATGTTGTCTGGATCATGGGGTGGCCGCATTTTGAGGGTCTGCTTCCAGGTGATTTCACTGGCTGTGTTTCATGTGTGTTTCTGATATTTTTTGCGGGTTCCATTCTAAGGAACGTAAGTTAATGAGACAGAAACAAATGTTGGCTTGAACATTTTAAGTAAAGGCTAACTGAGGTCAGATCCAAAGTCCAAAGAAGATTTCTTTAGTAGAGCAAATAGGGGGAAATTGGTAAGAGCATTAGGTGTCACAGGCAAATGGTACGATCGTGTCACCAGCTCAGACAGTCTGTGTGGAGCGGGGCTTTCCACAGGCATGCTGCGCAGCATTTCATGCAGGCAGTACCGCAATATTATGGTAGACGGATGCGAGTTTTTGTTCCTTTTGCAGCTTTCTTCATATTTAATTAGTAATTTTCTTTTGAGTTTTAGAGGGATATATCAACTAAGAGAATAAGGAATTTACATCTACTATATATATATATTTCTAAGAAATGTTATAATGAAAACAAATTAGGTCAGTACTAATAGATTCTCAGGAATCTATTTCCTTTCTCTTTCTAAGTTTTGAGCAAAACTATCACATTCCATTCTGATTCCCACATCAATAAAAGATTGAAAGCCCCTGCTTGGGGCCCCTGCTCTGATCTTTAGGTGGAATCGCACAGTCTGAATGACAAAGCCCTTGGTGGGCAAAGTTGGCTGTTCCTGTGCATTCTGTATTTAGCAGTGACTTTGTGGTTATGTCCTACATTCTCCTCAAAATGCTCAGCTGCCCTTCGTTGGGTGTGCAAGTCTTTTAAAGTGAGAATAGCTTTCAAAGGAGCCTGTGTTGTCCTGACTTGAGTCTGAGAAAGAAGGTCCCACCCCAAGCTACAGGGGAGGGGCTGTTGGGATCCAGGGCCACAGAAAGTAGCAAGAGGAAGTGGGGCACCAAAGGACAAGGGTCACTGAATTCACAAGAATCACTAGAACATATATTTGGCAAAGCACTGTCCTCTGCTCCCCGACAGCATAGTCTTCTGTTTGTTCTTTTTGGCAGCACAATAAACAAGTTTGTCATCTCTGAGGACGACCTTGGGGCAGGAGCTGCAGCTTTCTGGCTAACTCCTACAATACGGCACAGATCCCCAGCATCAGGAGAAGGTGATAGAGAACATCTGTGAACCAGAAGGGTGGAAAACGATACTGAGAAACAGTGGTACGAAGGCCAGGGCTAGCCAACCTGACTCAACACAACCTGTCAACTCCTGGTTTTACGTGGCTCTTCATAAAACCCTCCACATTTTATGCAGTCATTTTTGTTAGTCCCCTGAAGATTCAGAACTAAGAACCTGACCAATAAACCTAGCTTGTGGACCTCTGGCAAGTGGGCATCTGGACTTGGATCATGCAGTAATGGCGAAGCTCCCTGTCACGCTCTTGCTGTAGGTCTTCCCTTAGACATGAGCGTCTAGAGTTGGACTTTAAAAAGTTGATTTACATGATTTTCCTTAGTGATGAGAGCAGTGTCTGCGTCTGTGAGCTTATTAATAAATGGGATGGTCTTACTCCATTTCCTTACATATTCACTTCCTTCTCTGCAGTCCAGTGAGGTCTTTGGGCTCAGCTGAAACGATTCCTCTTCTGCGAGGCTTCCCTGTCCACCCTCTAAATCATGTCCCTCCTGCCCCTGTGCATCACACATACTAGGAAGGCCAGGCCCCTTGCCTGTTTCCTTCACTGGAGTAGCCACACTCCCTAGAACAATGCCTGGTACTCATGACTATGGTTGACCCTTACTGGATGTCTGCTTTGTACTTGGCTGTGTTTGGTGCCTTCAACTGTAACTGAACAATCCATACAGCACCATGTACGAGGCAGGGAATTATTAGGCCAGCTCCACCGAGGAGAGGTGAAGTCCTTGCTCAAGGTTAGCCAGATAATGAGTAGAACCATAACAGGGACTGATATTTGTTGAATGCACAGATTATTGAAAACCACATTCTCCAAATGCAGGAAGCTGAGGTAAGCCACCTGATGATGGCTTAGCTGGCTGAGGGGAGTGGGGTCCCACTGATCCTCCTTCATCCAGGTGACTCCCAGCTCCTCCCTGTGGGGCCCAGGGGCTGCATGGAGAGAGCGCTCCTTACCTCTGTCCCACACAGGTGAGATTTAAAGCCTGAGTTTCCGTTCTTTAGAGTTTGGCTGGAGCCATCTTTTGAAAGGAATATGTGCTTTACGAAAGCATTGCCCATGACATTTCCCAGAAGTGTCTTTTTTCCTTACCTGAGAAACTATAGAGGCTTGGAAATCCCCTGCCTGGAGTGAGTAAAGAGAGAGAGAATGTGGATTTTAAGGAAAAATCACGGAAGGAGAAGTCTCAGAGTTATGTTTCCGAAACACAAACCTGACCATATCCCACCGGCCCCACACATCCCACATTAAACCCATTAAACTGTGAGCACCCTATTTCCTGGAGGAAGGACAGAGTTCATATTGAAGTTTACAAAGGTTTCTGCTCACAGCATCTTCTCCTGGACTCTCTGAAGGCAGAAGTTAGTAAACTTCATGCAAAGGACCAGGTAGTAAATATTTTCAGCTTTGTGAGCCTCACAGCCTGTATCACCACTAGCCCACACTTTCATTGTAGTGTGAACAGCTGCAGACCATACTATCCCACCTAAATGAGCAAGTGGCTGTGTTTTACTAAAACTAAAGGCACCGGCACTTGAATTTCATGCAAGTTTTATGTGTTGGAAAATATTTTTTAAGATAAAAATGGAAAAACTCTTTTTTTTGCTTGCAGGTCACACAAAATCAGCAGGCAGCCTGGGCCTTGGGCTTTGGGCTCAGTTTGATAACTATACTCCCAGGTGCCCGGGCTAAAGCCCCAGCCTCCCCATGGATCTTGCTCACCCTCGGGTTATACCAGCCTTTGAGGCACCTTAATAATTTTCCACAGAGGTCTTCCATAAGCCCTGGTTGGAGCTGAATCCCCTTGCCACAAGCTTTGGTAGCATTCTGGCCACCCCACCCTTTTAACAGTAACCTCTGCCCTTGCTAGATGGCAAGATCCTTGAGGATAGATGCCCTGTGGGTCTTGTCCAGTGCCAGCCCAGGCCAGGCAGGGCTGGATGCTTTATAAAAGTTTATAGACTTGTACTTGATTTTCTTAAAACATTTCATTTTTTCTCTTGTTCACTGAATGCTTGGTTTGCTCAGCACTTCCTAATTCCTTAGGGACATTTGACTCTGGGCTGTGGATAGAACTTTTCAGCGTAGAGCTCTTAACAAACCTCAGCTCCTTCATTTGGCATGAACTGCCTCTCATCCCTTGCCTGAAGACTTGGGCGCAGGTGAGAGTTGTGTCCACAGGCACACCTGGTTTGGCAATTCAGTGAAAATGCTCAAACTAGCCATGCCTGTGGACACAGCCCAGATGTAGGCAACCATGGAAATGGGGGCTTACTCCGCAGGGACAGCTCCACCACCAGGACGCCCCCTGTCTGGTCCCGCAACAGGCGCTTCCTTTTGTCACAGGTCTGAGGAGACAGTCGGATAAGAAATGAGCAAAGGAGAGGAAGACAGAGGACGATTTTAAAAACAACAACAAACTGGATGGAGTAAAACTTTCCCAATCCATACATACCAGTTGCCTTCTATTTGTAATTCAGAGAATCCAGGAAAAAAACTATTAACTCTACAATCTGGAAGAAATCCTGCTGGAAGAGGTCATGACCATTATGTACAGAAAAACAATCAACTTTTAATAAGGAGAAAGGCTTTACTTAGGTTACTCTCACCATAGTGATTTCAAAAGTGGACACTTGCAAAATATGCTCTGGTTCATTTCCTTTCTTTCTTTTTTTCTTCTTTTCAAAAATGTGATGTCACTTCATACTCATGTATGTATGTGGTGTTATACTCAAAACATACTCACATTTTGATCAACTGCAAAATGTTTCTCCCACCCTTTCCCTGGCTGGCACCCTCTGACTCCTTTCCTTTCTTCTCTCTGTGATCATCAATGAGCATTTTATGGCCAAGTGCATCAACAGATGTAGACATGATAAGCTTATTTCCGCAAGTACCCAGGCATGTGGGTGGCAGCCTTTTGGCAACTCTGAGGCTTCCAATCCAAGTACACCGGAGAGGACAACTTGGGATTCAGCACTTGGAAGTCTCTAAGGTGATGGTTCTGAACCTCAGCAGGCAGATTGCCAGCCGTTCTCACTGTCCAATAAGCCTTGGTCCAGAATTTCTGCAGCCCCTCTCTGGAGACTATCCCATCAAGACTATAAAGGCCAACACCTTAAATTCCCTTGCACGTTTAACTTTTTCAAAGCATTTCCATGTTTGTTACCACTGGAAGTTTATAGTACATGGTCTCAACAGGCAAAGACAATCCCTACTTATCACTGTTGAAGTCAAGGAAACCAGTGGGGTAAGTGACCCATGCCACCCCGGGCAAGTGGTGGGTGGCAGGGTGGGCAGCGCACATGCTTCCCTCCCTGCACCTGGGTCCTTTCCTCCAGGAAGCCATCTACACATACCCACACCGGCCAGGTTACACCCTTCCAGCAAAGCCCAGCTCCTCCAGGACCAGCCCCCTTGGGAGAGATTCTGCCTCAGAGAAAGGTGGCTCACCACAGGGCAGGAGAGCTTCTCGCTGTCGCAGATGAACGTCTCGCAGTGTAACCAAACCTTGGAGAGTTTGGGGATGTTCTGGAACCGGAAGGCATTGAATTGGAAGGTTGCTCTGTGATCCTTCCCATTCTCATGCACGAGGACCGTTTCATCTGTGGGGCAGCTGGGCACATAGGAAAAGGGGCAGCAGTGAAAAGTCACTCTGGGGAGCTTCAGCAAGGGCTCTCTGAAGCTAATTTGTACCCAGCAACACGCCCCTAGATTTGCGAGCCTTTGCCCTTCTGGAGTGCTATGGCAGGTAATATCTCCCTTCATTTTTGCAGTTATGAAGTCAAGGTGAGGGGCTACGAGATGGGCATGATTGTTCCCGTTCTATAGACGAGGGACAAGAGGAGAGTGACTTGTGAGAAGCCACACACCTGGTAAGTTGCTCCTCTATCCTAAAGAAATGAGACTCCCAGAAGAGGAAGCCTTCCCATGGCTTGGGAGCTTGCAGAGCCCCAAGATGACACAAGATATAGGCCACAGTGCTAGAAGCAGCATCCTGGTGCTGCCATAGACACCCTCTTTCATGACGTTTTGCCATTGGAGCCTTGAGTTTAATGTCCACTATTTAAATTATACATACATTCTTATCTTTGTGGTCACATTCTAAGCACAGGCAAAGAAAGTGGGTGGAAAGATGACCTTCAACTGTGTCTTTACTGACATGGAGGCAGGATCTAAGGCATAGCACATCTGAGAGTTCATGAGTGAAATTGGGGGTGAAGGCTGTGCCTTCATATCTGGACCAAGGAGCAGAGCTGGCTCTCCTCATGGTGGCCTAGCACAGCGATGGAGCTGTGGGCATTTTCCAGGTTGTAGAACAAGACACCCGTAGGATCATCTGGCCAAGAAACCCGAGATCATTGTGTGAAGCAAGACGTGAGGCCTTAGAAATAGCTCTTTGCAGCCCGAGTGCCCCAGGCATGGTGACCGGCAATAGAAAATAATGTAAGCAGAGCTTTGGTAGAAGATGGAGGAGGGAAATAATGAACAGGCCTTGATGTCTTGGCAGTGCTGCTCTCAGCACAGGCCATGGCACCTGCCCTTGGGTGACAGCTACTTCTGGGAGAGTTTCACACCATTCCCATCCACGTCTCCTTCTCCACATCGGATCACTCCAAAACGGGTGTGCGATCCACATGCACTCGTGTGCACAGGAAAACCCTGGATACACAGCCACTCTTTTCTCTCCAGGAACCCTTGAAAACTGGGATTTCCTCCAAAAGGGCCCGATATGAACAACACGTATCCTCCTAAGTTATTCCAAGCCAGAGCAAAGTAGGGGGGCTGCCCCACTGCTCGGACCTGACTCTAAGAGTGGTACCCACCCCTTGTTGATCAGCTGCCATTGCAAGGGATACATGAAGTCAGCAGAGGGTGTGGCCCAACAGCTGTTCAAAACCACTTTAAACCTGGAAATGGAAGAGAATAGCATCACCTGGAGCCACAGATTCTTATGCTTAGAAATGTCTGGTGACCAAAACGTCTCTTGGATGGTCTCTATTTCTTTGTGTTTAAAAACAGAAGCACAAAGGAGATGCACTTACCTGATGCTTAACCCTTTGGCTTCTACTCCTGCAAACAGATCTGAACCGATTTCAGATGTCTCCAGGACAAAGGGGGCTTCTTTCTTGGTGGAGAACTTGGCATTCTTTGGAAAGAAATGGACATTGGACGTTATGACCTCTCAGACTGAGCAGGTGGGTTTGGGAGGAGCAGCTGCATGGGGGTGGGAATCAAACCAAAAGAGCAAGCATGCGACACCACAGGGAATGACTTCTGGGGACAGAGGAGCTGTGCCTCCTAGGGTACTGGCGTCACCTTGGAGGGTGTAAGAACGTCCCATGGTCTAGATTTGCCAGTCATGGTGAATCACGTACATCCATCTCATTTATGCCCACAAAATCTGATGGGTGGAGAAAGAGTCCAATCCAGGGATGTTGAGGCACTATATTTTATGAACCCAAGGACAAGAGGGACCGAACACATACAGCCCCTCTCAGCCTGTGTTCACCTCTACTTCTTGCCTGAGCAGATTTCACACTGGCTTGGAAAGTTTATAATCTGAATCCCAGTACGATTAATAGCAACAACAATAAAAAACATAATTTAGTAACTACCTAGTGTGCATCAGGGATTGTTCCATATATTTGAACCATTTCTGCGGTAGGGTTCTCTATATATTGAGCTATATTAGTGAACAAAACAAAGATTTGTCTCCGGTGATCTGATGTTACAGCAGGAATGGCAGACAATAATAAATTATACAGTGCGTTAGAATAGAGTGTGTTACACAGGAAAGCAATAAAAATGGTAGAGCTGAGTAAGGCAGATTAGAATGATGAGGAAGGGTGGGAGGCCATTTTAAAGACAGCAGTCGGGGGTCCTCATTGAGGAGGGAGCATTTATTTGAGCAGGACTCCAAGAAAGTGGGAAAGGAGCCACACAGCCATCTAGGGAAGAATCCATCCCTTGGGTTTTCTTTTGCCCCAGGAGACTGCCCTACATGTGTCCTGACTCTAGGAGTCTGATTTTAGACTCTTGCTTGCATTTTCCCATCCCAAGCTTTTCCATTTCTTTTTGTCTAAGAGGAATGGTTAGGACTCTTTTGATGGAATAAAAATCAACCTAATCCCACACTGACATTGATATTCATCTCTGTAAAGGTAACAGTACTAGCAACCCTCCATCTTCATGTCAAATGGGGTCAAAATCTACATTCAGGGGACTGGCTATTGTCTGGAGCACTTATATTGCCAGGCACTATACTAGGTGCATCCTAAAAATATTTTATTTAATCCTCATAACAAATCTCGAGGTAAGAGTTATACGCCTGCTTTCAAATGCAGAGATGGTGGCATAGAGATGTTAATAAACTTGGCCAGAGCCACACAATTAGTCAGTGGTAGAACTAGTCTTAAACCCATGATTTGGTGGCAAGTACCATTCTCTTAACTGCAGTGCTATGCTACTTCTGTAAGCTGACCACCCTCCTTTATTTTGGACCAGGAGTTAAAATAACTTTTTGCTAGGAATACCAATCACAGGTCTTTGGCAAAAGTGAGTGGGAGAGACACGGGGACGAAAGAGAGAAGAAACACGCTGAGTAGAACACGTGCTTTTGGAGCCCAGCATTTGGTGTTCTCAGAATTGTAAGCAATTAGCAGGGCATTGATTCCATTGTGCTATCTAGGCCATGGCTCCCTTTCTGGTAATGTGGTGGAAATATATGCAGGAAACACTTGTTGCTTCAGAAACACACAAGAATGCTCTCAAAGCGGAAAAAGGGAGAAACAAAATACCAGCCACACAGGTCAGGTGCAGTAAACAAGGCCCATGGGAGAATGTTCTTCAGGGCATGTCTCTGGACGGCACAGCCCCTCTTTCCTGAGGTCTGCTTACCTGACAGGCCTTGACGGGTCCTGGGGGAGGCCTTGGCTTCACGTCTATGACAACTCAGGGAGATGCCCTGTTACTCTGTCTCTCCAGAGGGTGGCCTGAGTGATGTCGAGGACATGCCTCTTAATTAGTATTATTTTTTAAAATTATTATTATTATTTTTAAAGAGAATAAGCTCTTTCTAGCTGTGAGGTTTGATGTTTAGATCTGAAACTTAGCCCAGTAAGGATGCTGGTGGGTGATGATTTTCGAAAATCCTGGTGTCTTTCTATTGACAACTGTTGTAAAATCTTCACATGCTTGTATTTGCAACTCCATCTGGTTAAAGTAACAATTATTTGCTTCTGAACAGGGACTCAATAGTAAAAATAGCCTGTCATCAGGATATCCTCTGAGACTTGCCGATGCACGCTGACCTAGCTCCCCTCTGACAGCCAGCCTTCCACAGGGACTGCAGTGGCATTGGCACCTTTTCAACACACTGGCAGCCCACGCTGTACTTACCCTCTGAAGACAGATCAAGAGGCCCCATGGGGTTCCCTTTCTCAGGACCTAACCACTACTGGACTGTGGCTAGGGGAAGATCTAGGTTTTAGGGGACCTTGAAGTTTATAAAATGTGGAGAGCCCTCTTTAATTAAAAAAAAAAAAGAAGAATTTTGAATCCAGAACGAGATGCAGGGCCTGAAAATGGGCCCGTGTAGATGAGGGACCCCAAACTTACGCTTTTTGACCCTCACAGAAAGTGCACTGGAGAGACCACGGTGAGGAGATCTGTACCCTAAGATGGGGGTGCTCCTCAAAGTACCTGTGTGGTTTGGAGGCCAATCCCTTGCTCTCTCTGGACTTTAGATCCTCATCTGTAACATGGACTGGGTTATCTTTGATACTCCCAGCTCTTGCTGCTGAGTTCAGCAGGGCTAATGGCTTCTAGGCAGCACCAAAGCAAGCTCAAAATGTTCCAGGTGAGTGGGCTTCCAGGTAGGAGAGGAATTTCCTTTGTGAAATGAGTGAGTTGAGTGAGTTGCCCTCTAAGACTGTCTTCCAGTTGTAGTGTACATAAAGGCTTGTGTTTCTGCCTGCATCTTCCTCGACCAGCTGGGCCAATGTCCTCTCTGCATGCATGTGTCCTCACTGGGAGCTGCAGATCTCAAACACAAAGCACTCCTTCTGGATGGAAAGATAGCTGGGCTGACAGCCTTGCATATTTAGTTTCTCTGGAGCACTTTATTTCCGCAAAGACCAAAGTGTGCCTTTAAATTCCATGTCACTGTAGGCAGCGGGCCCAAGTTAGACCATGCGGAAACCCACTCGCTGAAAGGCTCCAGGGACTAAAGAAGCAGGCAGCAGAGGCTAATCCTTGCTTCCCCTCAGCTCTGTCCCTGTTAGGAAGTTCAAAACCTTCTGCCGAATGTCTTAAGAAAAGCTAGATTCTAAGTATAAATAGATCTTTGAAATGAGTTGCCGTGGAAACTAACCTTGATTAAGAGTCAGACATCGGCTGTATTACAGCCAACCTTGTCTCAATTTTCTCCCCTGTGAAATGGGAAGGTTGGCCTTATATATTTGCGGCACAATTCAGCTCTTTCATGCTGCCTATGAGTCTGGCTTTCAGCTGCATCTAGCCTTCAAAGAGGGTTAAAGCTAAAGCAAAGCGTCTGTCTCCATTTGAACGTAGAATGGGACTCTGCATGGAGCTTGGGTAAGAGTGGTCCACAGGAAGCATCCCATCACCTTCTGGAAAGGAAAGTCAGACTTACAGTGTAGAAGTTGAGAGACAACTGGCTTTCAAATGTGCCCATACTCCCATTCTTCACATGTATAGTGGCCACTCTGAAAAGGGGAGAGAATTTTGCATAAGGACTGAAACACGCCTGTTTGATGGGACTGCAGCACAGCCCCAGGCGGCCAACCATCCACCCCGAAGGGCAGCTTACCTCTGGTCAAATGCAGCCTGGTTCACCAAGTAGGCCGAGTGGTAGGTACAGGAGAAGGAGTAATTCACAGGCTGGTTCTTCATGATCACCGTGCTGTCGTTGGAAACGATGTGGCTGTAGAAGTGGTAGATGGGAGGCTTGTACTGGGGAAGAAAGGAAGGAAGGAAGCATTTAGGTGGTCCTGTGGCCCCGGAAGAGAGTCAGGGCTCTGGGGAAAGTGGGTGAAGATGGCTCAGAAAAAAAGTCCAACGGGGAGACGTGAATGTTTGCTGCTGACAGAAAAATTCACTCCTTTTGTCTGTGGGTGAGCTGATTTTCTGTGGAATTCTTGAGTCCCTTCAATTAGAATGATTTAAAATAATGTAGGTTGATGTCACAGAGATAGAGGGAGGGGAAAGAAGGTAGGAGAAGGGAACATGAAAAGAATTAAGTCTGTTATGTACATGTACCAACTTCTCATGATGAATTAATCATTATGCACGCAAATGGAACACAAACATTTAATGCCTTGATAACAATACAATTTTTAAAGCCCATAAACTCATTGAGCTTCAACCAAAAAGAACCAATTTAAGAGTCTCTATTTCTCCACATCAACTTTTTATGCATTTCCCCCATTTGAGTACCCTAGGTGAATATCTTCACCCTCTCCCAAATCTAGACCATTACTCTCTAGTTCTCTGCTCTTTCCTGCTTCCAACTATAAATACTATTTCTAAAATTCTCTCCCCTGGCATGCTGGACTTTGAAATCACAGACTGGAAGGGATCTGGGACATTCAGGCCTGAGGTCCCAGAGATGGGTTCTCGTTCACCTCGCCAGGATATACCGAAGAACATGATGCTTTGCTAATCACACACATGGCTCTACCCATGAAATCTCTGAATTTTTGTGGGCCTTTCAGAAGAAGAGTTGACCCTGGAAGCTCTAAATCACATCTTTTGAGGTCTTCGGTGTATAATCTTCTGGTGTCAAGGCAGCAGGAGTGCTGGATCACAGCGGGAGGGTCAGAAGACCCAGCCTCACTCTGTGACCGTGTCCCTTCTGGTTTCGTAGTCCTAAACTAATGTCTTTACTGAGAGGTCTCAGATTTCTCCTCTGCCGCATGAAAATACTTGGCAAGAGGATTTCTGTGTTTCCTTAGGATTCCATGATTGCTTGTCCTGGTTTCTGCATATGACCCAGTTAAGAATTGTGTTAGATTCTGGTCACTCATTTAAAATTCTCTTCTCTTTGCATTTTATTATTGTTTCTAAATTCTGAGAAAGGTGCAGCTCAGGAAGAATGATAGTTTATAAGAACAGGCTCTGAATTTGAAGTGAGTTAGAGGTGAGAAATATTCTTTGTTCTCTTCGCAGTAGGTGACTTTGTTGGCTCTGGCAGCAGATTAGGAGAATAAAAGTCAAGTCAGAAGGGTCATTAAAGTAGGTAGATTTTATAAGGATTGACTTTTAACAGGAAATTCTGAATCCTCTTAAGGATGGACAGCAAACATGGCATTCTTGGGTGCAATCACCTTGTCTTAAGCAGCTCTGCATGCTGTGCCTCCCCCTTACCTCAGATTGGGTTCCACAATAAGACTTGTTTTTGGGTGATAAGTCTGGGATGACAAATTGGTAGTAGCCACCTTCATGGACCCCATTGTAGCACAGCCCTCCGAGGGCCAGCTGATGCACTTCCCATCCGTAGGGGCACTCTGGGATTTTGGTGATGATGGTTTTGGGATAGCAAAACACAAGAATGACATCTGGAAATGCACACACATAGTTTGAATCAGACTCGATCATCATATCAGTCTACTTACAGAGCTGCAGGTTCCATGCATGCCTGGAAAAAACACTTTCCTGCTGCTCTTCTCTAGCTATTAGGAATTCCCCCAAATTTTAGCTGCTGAAGTTCTCCTTTAATAGCTTATGCTGTATCTATTTAATAATGGGATATACATTGCATATATATTTAAAATGGTCCATTTAAAAACTTTCACTTTATTTTTGAGACTGCACCTATGCAATCACAGTTTGGAATATAGTGTACATATCTCCTAGGAAAGTGAGCACATAAAATTAAAATGTCCATTTCATACACAATGTGATAAAACATTGGTTTATGCCACAGGACAGAAATTCAACAGTCAAATAGAAAAAAAAGTGTAGATGTTTTATATACAAGAGAGGGAGGAGGGAGAGTGAGTATTCTTTAATTTTAAAAAAGTTAGTCGATCCAGTATTTTTGCTTCCTGTGGGAAAAGCCCATAGGCACTGGGGACTTAAGTGCTTTTACTTGGTTACATTACTCTATTTTTGTAACAGAGCCAGTAGGAGCACAGAGCTGGAATCATTGCAAGGGAAATTCAGGAAAGGTTCCTTTCCCCGGAAGGGCCTGGCACCTGGGCGTACCTGCTTTGTTTGGAGTGCATGATCTCGCTGAGGCCTCTGCAACCACAGCCAGCAGGACAAAGGCTCTCACCTCCATTGCTTCTCAGCACTGGGTCTTTGCCAGGGGGCCAAACCCAACTGGCCAAATCCGTTCCTTCCAGGCCTAGTCCTCAATCATTCTAGGTCAGAAATACAAGTGAAAAGTTAAAATGAAGGGTTGGAGCTAAGTAGCACATAGGGTCTTGGGGGACAGTTCCAAGGATATAGGGGCACAAAGTGGGGCTCATACCACTGGGAGCTTCGGTAACACAGGCGGATGCTCCTGTCCCCAGCTGCCTCATTCTCTCCGATGGTGGTGCTGCCTCCCAGATGCTTCCCAAATCTCGGGCCCCAGTGCTACCTCGACTTTATATAGCCTGAGTGTGTAAAAGAAACCAGCTCCAGATAAGTCACAATGAGCACACATTATCCACTGTGGGGGAACAAAAGAGAACCTTGCACAATAATCCAACGAGAAGCTCAGTTACCACTTGAGTCTAATTTCTTTTACTTTACAGAATTGGAAAACTGTTTTTTTCTTAACTGCTTCAAGCAGGAGTGGAATAAAAAGTTGAATTTTTACCCGTTGTACAAAAAGCAATTCTAACTGGAGGCAAACTATTTCTGCACAGGTCCAGGTGTCAATTTTGTTCATTTATGTCTTGTTTTCTTTGCTTTATTTCTTGTTTTCTTATTTTTATATTTAGGAGAACTAAACTGTGAATTCAAGAAGACTCACATCCAGCATTATTATACCTGACAGAAAAAAGGGTTGTATTAATGCAAACATTTTAAAGGTTATTTTTCTTTAATATTTTAAAAATAAACTCTGATGTCTAGAGCTTCATTCTGGAATGCAGCTTTAACTGGCATACCCACTAACTAGTCTTCTAAGTTTTATTACTCTTCCAGAGCAATGACAGTGGAGGAAGCAACTTAGACTTTCCCATAATTCAGTCCTTAGTCCCCAACAGGACCCCACTGAAGCAGCAGAGACTGTGTTATTCCCATAAAGGGTCCAGATATATTATTGGCAACACATATAATTTCATGTTTCAGAAACACTGGCTGTATCTCATGAGCACTATGCCTACGTAATACGGTAGAGTTGGTTATTTCTTCACATCTCTTGTTAAATTGATGGCATGTTTTGCAATGATAGCATCAAAGAACTAAGGAAGTGTTTATATGGCAAGCTATTAAAAGGTTCCTGTGACTCAGTTTCCTTCTCTGTAAAATAGAGGCTGTAACCCTGGACTGATCTCATAGGATAGGAAAGCCAAGCAATGATGGCAAGCCTCTTTTAAACTGTAAAGTACTAGATAAATATATAGATGTATAAGAAAAGACAATGAACAGTTTCTAGTAACGTGTGTGTTCTAAGAGTTCGCCCCCTTTTTTCCCCTTGGAAACACCAGAGAGTATCTCATTGTAGACCTCAGATTTATGTAACACGAGGCACATCTATATTGTATAATGCAGACGCAGTATGTTTTATGGAGAAGAACCAAATGGGCTGAAGGAAAGAGGAAAGGGTTTAAAAATAAAAATATTTTAAAAAATATTTTAACACCAGGCTTGGTTTTAGTTCAGCCTGGAAACATCAGCCATAGTTCATTCCTGTGTAGAAAAAAAGACATGGGAATCTCACATGTGAGTTTCTCTTCCCTGGGACTAGGCTCTAACTCTCTGTGACTCTTCTCTCCTTTTCATCAAACATTTATTGGGCCCCTGCGGTACACTAGGTACTGGACCTGGAAGACATGGGCAGCTCAGAAGTCATTTCTTTCCCCGAGGAGCTAGTGGGAAGGCAGTGTAGAGGGCCATGGGAGTCTGCACTGAGAATGTAGAATGGGACAGGGAAAGAGGGGAGATCAGAATGCTTGATAGAGGAAGGAACAAGTAAGTCATGCCAGGTCTTGGAAGTTTAAAATAAGCCAGTTGCACAAGGACCATGCCCCTGACTTGACATAAATTATTGCTTATCATGGACAATTCAGCATGGCTCTTCCATGCGGCCTAGGGTACTTATTCCCATTCCAAGAGGATCCTTTTCACATATCTTCAAATATGTACTTCTTATCAGCCAAGTTGGGCCCATGCAAGTCAACAGTGTCCTATTATTGCTCACTTACAAGCACGGGTTCACTCATGGAGAGGGTTGTGGTGGAGGGCAACGCCTTTCTGTCTCCAGCGGGAATGTCTGAGGGCTCTGGCAGGTGGCTGCAAGTTGCTATGGGGTGAGGCTGAGCCTTGGACTCGATATTCTGCCTGGAACTCAAACCCCATCTTGACCACTTACTGATTGTATTCTTGGGTAGGTTACTTAGCTTTTGTGATTCTAAATTTCCTTCTCTTTTGGAAGGACATGATAATGTCTATGACATAATGTTACTCAGAATATGAAATGCGATATATGTATGTCTGCATAGACACGCCTTATTTTCTCCTATCAGAACAAAGCACCTGGAAAGCCTTTTGTTTCTATGTTCTACTTGAGAAATCAAAAAATCTGAGCATATTAGGAGTGTGTCACTACTATAGAGCACAGGTTATTGTCATCAGTGCTAGATTATGTCACCCTGGAATTAGACATCGTAAGTTCTGTCACATTTTTAATTGTGTCATCTTAGGCAAGTTAACTGGACCCTTCCAAGCCTTCAGTTTCCAAGTCTATAACAAGGGGCGTCAGACCTCCTGTGATTGTTGCAAGGACATAATGAAGTAATCCCTGTAAATTGCTTAATCCAGGGCCAGGCACACAGTAAGCAGTAAAGACTTGCTTCTGAAGTTGGTATCTTCAAGCTGGAAGGACATGTGGATAGTGTTCCCAAATGAACTCTGAGTGTGTCTTAATGGTAACTGCTCTCCTTACAGAAGCCCACCTTAACAAAAGAGTAGGTGCTTTTGATTTCTAGAGAAGCCCGATAATGATAAGATTCTGAGACAGAGAGCGATCTCTCCTACAATTTCTTGGAGTGGACTATCAGGTACATGATACTCCTTTCAAGGAGAAGCTGAATGAAGTTGGGGAAGTGGATTTAACTTTTGTGGCTGGCTAGTCTCTAGATATTTAATTTGCATAAGAAATAGAATGGGACAAAATGTACTTGGGCCAAACAGCATCTGATACTTGCTCTGATAAAAGGCAAGAGGCTTCTATTTTTTCTGGTAATTACTCACCATTCTGAAGCCCCACCCTAGCCTGCTTTCTGTTTTCCAACACTCTTCTCCCTGAGATGAAGATGGAGTGAGGCGCGCCACTGTGAGGTGTGGAATTCAAAAGCAAAGTCACCTGCTGAAACCATTGCTAATTCTTCAAAACCACACTTTTCCTTCAAAACCAATTGAAAGATCTTATCAATCCAGGATTCTGAAAAAGCTCAATAAAGAGGGTTTTATGGAACTCATCAAAAAATGAGCTTGCTGGGGATTTCGCTCAGTGGTTTTGCTGCCTGCTACGCAAGCATAAGGACCCGAGTTCCATCCCCGGTACAAAAAAAAAAAAAAATGAGCTTGTCTGTCTTGCATCTCTCTTATGAATTGCCGGGCAAGAGAGGGTATCTGTTCTACTTGAAAGTACTGAGTGACTAGTGAAAGCTGGTCTAAATGCAAAAGTGTTGCCATTTGCAAAATTCCAGTCAACATTTTCAGTTATAGTTCAGAAATCATCAATAGGTGATAAGTCATGATAAAGAATACTAGTGAACTCTTACAGAGGTTAAAGAGGGAATTTAAAAATAAAGCCAGTAACATGCATTAAAGTTTAAAAAGCTGCTATATCAACTTATTTTTATTTCTATTGTGTTTCACATGAG